TAAAGAAATGTCTCTTTGGAACGTTTCCAATTATATTTCAGAATTGTTATGCTAGATTATTCTTTTAATAGGAGTTTGAGATTTAACTGTAATTCACTTGTTGGTTGGTCAATAGAGATCTCTAATCTTTAAAAGAATGAGTTTGGGGAAAATAAAAAAGTGCTAAGTTACCATTTGTATTTTATTTAAAAACGTTTTTTAAAAACAATTCTGAGAAGCTATTAATTTATATTTAAAGTTCCAAAATTTAAATTGCGTTGACATTTGTGCATTTTATCATTGTCTGTTCATGTAACACATATTATATATCAGAAGCTTTTTTGTTTTTGTTTTTGTTCTTGGTTGAAGAATATTTTTTATATTTGATGATTTGACTCTACAAATATAATAACAACAACCGAAAAGCGCACAAAATCTCTACAAAGAGGAGAACCGAAAGGCTCTTCGCCGAGAAAAGTATATTTTTTGTAATTCCTCAAATCCTTTAATTGATCTCGAATCCTGTAGTCCCGTACAAACACATCCTCAGTAGGGATGCAACATCGATGTCGATATTTTAAACATTGATTTATTTAGGCCGATGTTTTTTTTAACATCAATGTTTTGTGATCGATGTTTTTTTTCTTTTCCGATATTTTGATTCTGAATGAAAAATTCCCATGATCACAAAACTGTAAAAGGTAAAATATGAAACAATAGCTGATGGTAACACCGTTAGTTCATGTGGTCCCAAAGGAATGTTGTTTATACTACCTTCCTCGACGAAACTTTCGCCCGAGATCACCTCTATGTCTTGTATTTCCTCGTTTTTCATATTAATTTTGCAATTGAGATGTGAGCAACAACAAATACGCTGTGGGCATAGGGTCTGTCTCTACTCTTATTTGGCAAATTGATAAACACAAACACTGTAATTAAATTTTAATTCACGCGAATGTAATGTAATACAGACGAAATTTTAATGTTAGAGGTCTTAAAACATCGATGTATTTTTAACTTCGGTATTTTAATTTTGAACATCGATGTTTTGTTATCGGCGTCCATCTCTCATCCTCAGAAGCGCGCTAACACGTGGGAAGGCGCGCATACAGCAAAGCATAGTACGTAAGGCGGTCGAGGCGCATGCGCCCAGAGGGGGACGTGCGCGCGCGCTCCGCAAACCGCCGCCACCGCCGCCGCCAGCACCTACGTCAGAGGCGCTAGCCGCGCCGCGCCGGCCGAGGCGAGGGCCGATGGCGGCAGTGCGTCGGCAGCAGCGCGCGGTGTGGCCTGTGGCGGAGAGCGGGAGCAGCGTCGTGACATCGTGCGTCGCTCGTGTGTTGCAGGCTGAGCCCCAGGTGACGCAGCCGCCGTCGCCGTCGCCACCATGCTCTGCCTGTGTGCGGCCCTGCTGGCGCTCGCGCTGGGCGCGTCCGCAGGCCTCGAGGGCCCCAACGTGTGCCACCGACAGGAGACGTAAGTGCACTGCGCGCCCGCTGTCTTGGCAGCGAAGCGGCCAGTTCGCTTACAGTGCGTTTCGGCCGGGACCCAGAACGTACCTACGTCAGTTCGGACCCCCCACCCCTGCATCTCGCATTCGTTCATGTCAGATAATTTTTTTTTTTGATTTATTTTAATTTTTTATTTGTTTGGAATGCATGTTTCGTCTTTCCAAATGCCATCCGCTTAAGCTCCAAAAAATATTTCTTAGAAACGTGATGCAGTCAATTTGGGGACCGCCTTTGGCCACGTGGGTTTATTTTGTTCTATCAAGTGTTTACTTTTGGTGTTGTCAACAATTTCACCATCATATACATCGGCATGGAAGCTTCGACATGGGTCAGGGATTTGGCTTTCAGAATTGCGTAAGTCACAGAATAATTCAGCAAAACACATGGCATATGTGTATGTAGCACAATGAATTGTTTAATTTCAAGACTGGTAGAAAAGTTTGAATTATGAAGTTTTACATGTCGAATTACCGAAAGTAGAATCTGACTATAAATATGTATGCATGTTTATACATTTGAATTTGTTAGTGCTGTTTTCTACTGCGGATTGAACGTACTCCAAGCGGGGGCATCTCAAATGAGCAAATCAAAACAACTACCATTGTGCATTAGTTTTAGGCTTTGTTGTCAAGTAATGGACGTTGTGATGTGATGGCAAAAGCAATATGGTGTGCGAACGTAAAATAAATGATTGAAAAGATAAATTAAAAAGAACTCAGTTGCCAGAAATGTGAATTATGGCATCTACAAAGTGCGTGCTCATTTGTTAACGTTACACCGAACTTCAGTCCTGCATACAATATAAGCACTCGCAAATTATATTAGTAGTGAAAAGAAAATAGATGTGATTGTTTACCCTATGTTCAGTTAATTAGAAGTTGGTGGCTATATAGGATTGTAAACAAGGCAGTTTATTGATGCATTTTTTGGAAATATGTTCCCAGAAATTAACTATACATGATATACTGGCATGACGAAGAAACGATAAATTGAAACTTTGTTTTATCTGAAACATTACGACAGAAGTTAGCATAATTACCAGATATAGAATGGTCATTCACTTTCGAACTAAATGTTCAAGATTGAAATGCTTATTCTATTAATACCTGCATTTTATCCGACAAAGAACAACGTGACCGCTAAACATCAGTTGATGAAATTTGAATCTTGTTCACAGCTACACCACCACAGTAAGAGTGTCAGAGTCTAAACCATATCAAGTCCGAGAGTATACATGGTGCTTCAATTTTCCTCCAAGATGCTCCAAGTACAAAGTGAACTTCAAAACAGTTTATAGGACACAGGTGAGTAATGATCTGCAGAATGCAATTTCAATTTTAACATAATATTATCAAAGATAATTTTGTTCTACCCTTTTAATATCGGTAAACATTTTAAAGAATTATTTCTAATAAGATGTTTTTTTTTTATTCGCGAGCCACACTCTAAATATTAGAAAAACACGCTGTAGAAATAGAAACTACGTTAACTTAACGTAAAAGTACTAAAACGGACATTATATTGCATTGCAAAAAATTTGTGAAACCCCAAACTTGGTTAGAATTACTACAGGGAAAAATGTTGTTGTTTTTTTTCAATCGAGAACTTGACAACCTTCCTAGAGTCAGCTTATGGGACCTTTGTTCCCCTAAATATACTAATTCACAAAACAGATAACAAATGCCATTCGGAAATAAGCTGTATGTTATTTTTGGAACTAAAATAATAATCTTAAAAAATATACAATGATTCGTTGGAGTCAATTGGGGTTTTGTAAAATAGCGACTTTCGATTTTTGCAAATGTTGCAGTGTGCTTTGTAGTTTTAAGCTGGCAACTTTGATTTTTGTTTCTCTAAATAAATTCAACACCACAGTTAAGATGTATCTTTCAGGCAAAAAAAAAATGTTTAAGGCTGAAATCTGCATTTTTTTTCTTCCAAATTTTAACAGGAATTAAAACATATTTTCTCTTTCGACTGTTAAGTCACTTTAATTTTAAATTGGAATTTTATTTATTGTGTTTATGATTGTTGTTGTAAGATTTGTATAACAGTTTCTTAGCATTGTCACGCCAGTAACATAAATACTATCTTCTTAAATAAACACTAAGTGGCAAATGTGATGGAATTGCAGACGCTGGTGAAAGAGCGGCCCGTGGAAGACTGTTGCCCTGGATACACGCGCACCTCAGATCGCAAGCGCTGTCTGCCTGTGTGCTCGGAGAACTGCCTTCACGGAACGTGCGTCGAGCCGGATACCTGCCAGTGCGAACCCGGATACGGAGGACCCACTTGCTCAGTCTGTGAGTTATTTATGAGTTTCTAAAAATATTTATTTTTTATTTATTTAGAAAAAAATGTTTGAACTGAGACTGGGGGAAGGGAGAAAAGTCATTGTCAGATTTCAACGTAATGACTTGGACAATAGTCACATCAGTTGCGTCGCAGTTATCCAATTGGGAGCCAAAAATTAAAGTAACAAATCTTCTAAGTGGATAACCTCGTCGAGATGATTATATATCACAAAGTTACTATATTTAAATCGGACAATACATTTATTGTTCAGAAGGATCTGGGGACCATATCTGCTTTTACCCAATAGATCAGGGAAACTGGACGAAAAGCGCAATCGAAAAGGAGGGTCAAGGATATCGATCCTTTCGTTTTTTTGTTTTGTGTGTGTGTGTGTGTATGTGTATGTATGTATGATACTATTAAAGATTATTTTTTAAAAATAATTACATAATTCTTACATAATTAAATATTTAAATCAATTTTGCCAAATAAAAGGAGGTAACAAACGAAAATAACGTCTCTTCTCTTGGCCCTGCATAACTTGTCCAGACCAGATAGAAGTATGAGCAACAAGATTTGTTATCTCTTCTACCACGCAAGGCCTTTATCTCATGATAGCACACAAAGGAAATCCAGACTCGGGCGTTCTGCCTTCGGTTTTCTGATGGACCCACAAAAGATTAACTTCGACCATTTGAACGTATGTAATAGATTTAGTCTCTCCACCTGAACTCGTTTCCATTTTACATGGTATTTTTTCACATAACCTAAATCGTATCCATAACTTGGCTAAGTTTAAATTTGTGATTCGCAGAACGTTAGTTAATGTTGTCAACAATGATAGAATAGTAACACCTACTTGGAATAGTTGGTGTCAAAAAGGACAGATCGTGAAAAACCTTGTTGGGGGATTCAGTAAGCGATCTTACTAAAGTTTCATTCAATGAAAAATTTAAATACTCATTTCGAGACGACAGGTTCTAAGGGCAATTTATGTACTAGGCTGAAATCTATACTGGCAATATACAACAAAGAATGAGGGAAGACAACGAAATTGCCGACTCCTTGAACGAAAATCTGTCAGTTTCAAGATTGCTTATGGGTTCTAAAATAATGATCCTATGTCTGAAATCTAGACTTGAACAAAATTTATCGGGTAGCTATTGCGTTCTTCCATTTCTTTTGAATGTTCCAATTGGTTTTGCTTGCTTGCAGCTTGCCCGACGGGCCACTGGGGGCCCGCGTGCCAACACCTGTGCCAATGCCAGAACAACGCCACGTGCGACCCCTTCAACGGCAAGTGCCGCTGCTCCCGCGGCTGGACGGGCGAGCGCTGCGCCGACGAGTGCCCCGTGGGCAAGTACGGCCAGGACTGCGGCGAGAGCTGCCGATGCCTCAACGACGGCACCTGCCACCACATCAGCGGCGAATGCCACTGTAAGCCCGGATGGACCGGACCCCTGTGAGTTTTGACGAAGAAGTATTAGTCCATCTGCGTTAACTGCGTACTAATGCTGCAGAGTATAGTAAGACCTAGTGTAAAATACAAAAAATGTAAAAATAACAGTTTTTCCTATAGTTGTAACACGAAACTATGAATGCACTTCATGCCAAAGATGTTCGATCACTGGTGTAGTGTAGTGTAGTGTAGTGGGAGACAGGGAAGACACCGTCTACCTCTTGAAAAACAAAATAGAAGTAAAATGTCAATAGAATCTAGAATGTTTATTTTATAGAATATATATTCTTCTTGAATTCTGTAATTCTTTTCTAAGTCGAAGGCACAAGCCAGGCTTAGCCAGTGCCCTTCCAGGAAGACCATGAGTGAGACGCCCAAGGAAGGAGCCCCAAAATATACAGATTTCAATCTGTCTTCCTAGATTTAATTTCCATGTGGAAATTCTGTGCGTGTATCCCAGAATAAATCCAAAGCAGTCTCTGGATGAGCTGGGATGGACCAATCATTTTGGAATGGGCCATCATATTATTTTTGTAGGGTATATGTGATGCTATATAATATTATTTCTTAAATAATTACTTACTTTTCTCATAAATAAATATTTAAATAAGTTTTTCCAAATAATTGAAGGTAATAAATGAAATCTGTCTGCCTTTTGGGAGGGGCCATGCATGCCATGCCTTCCCCTCCTAAATCCGCCACTGAGCAGAGCAGAGCAGAGCTCAGCACAGCACTTCAACAACTGCTGGAGTTGATAAGATTTTCTTGCTGAACTATGTTTAAGAACGCTGTGAAGTGTAATTGCAGTTGTGTTAAACCAAATTTTAATTGCAATATAATTCTCCCAAATTTTAATAATATAAATTTTAACACTTAGTTACCATAGGGGTAGATTAAAAAAAAAAGAGAGAGAGAGAGTGAGAGAGAGAGGGGGGGACCCCAAAAAAATGACACTACTTCTAGCTTCTGTATGAAGATAATTAAGATTTGTAAGAATTTTTGCCAAGAAAATGTTATTACAGAATACAATTTAGGAAAATATGATTAATTTTAATGATTTTCCTACCAGCAATTGGAAATTTAAAGTTCAAATCCAACTTAGTCCTAAATTTATAAACACTCTATATTTAATTTTATATGCTGTCTAGTAAATAGCTCCTGCTCATTGAACATGATTTAATTTTAATAAGCATCAAATTTATCTCATTTAATTATTATTTCACAGTATCATCAAAAATATATGGTAAATTAAATGTGTATGGTAAATAAATTTGTCAATTAGTTTTTGGTTTCCTAACAGGTTGATAGAAACTTCTGAAATAAAAATCCTTGAAGTTGGTTTTTCACATGCACACATGTGCATTTCATATTTTCAATTTTTAATAGATTCCTGTCATTCTTGCATTTAGAAGACAGAAGACATATTCAGTATTAACATTGTTTCTAGGGATAATAAGTAAAAAAATCACCCATTTTCTCTCATTCAGAATGGTACACAGGCATAACGAAAGGATAAAAATTTTAATTTTCTTCAAAATCTGTTGAACATTTTTTTATCATAAATGAGGACAAATCAGGGAAAAAACCCTTTGTGAAAACCTTCAGTGAATTAATCAATGAATTTTAATGGAATTTATGACTGTTATTGATAACTATATTTGGGGATTACCACCCTTTTGATTTTGCATGGGTATTGCTGCAAGACATGCCTTCCCCTATATTTTTGGTGTATGGAGTTGATTGGAGGGAACTCCCTGGTAACCTATCCTTATCTATTGAATTGTCTTCTTAGTAAATTGGTGTTCATGCTGGTGATGCTCGTATATTTTGAAATGCTAAGCCATTGGTTTCATTAAAAAAACTTGAAGGAAAGCAAAGTAGTCACGTTTTTCTGCTTTACTTCCACTTCAACTTGCATAAACCAAATATGAATATTCTTTACTTATATGAATGTTCTTAATAATGTTCGAAATTAACTTAATATATGAATGTTCTTTACTTATTCAAGAATTCATAACATTAATAATCTTAATCACCTTTATTTGAATTAACCTTTATTTAAGATAATACGCTTTTGTGAATCCAAATCTTTCAATTTTTTCCACAAGTCTTTTTTAAGAGTAGAAATGTATAAGAATTTATGATCCATTAATGAGAGATCATTTTGTGAAAATGAAATTTCATATAGAGGAGTTTAAATATTTCACATTTCCTTTGACCTCGTTTTGTTTACTTGAGAACTGAGGGTAGATAGTGCCTGTGTGTATCCACATGTGGTCATGAGTGTTCAATAATTATTTATTCTTTATCAACTAACCTCTTTCAAGGCAAATGTTCAGTATAAATGTTGGTACTCAGGGAGAGTGATGACAATTTAAATCACTTTATAATTGCAGTACGCTACAAAATGAAATTAATGGATAATCTTAAAAACAAGTTATTGCATCCTTTTTTATAGTATCGTAGAAAATAAAATTCTAAAAGTATTAGTCAAAGATTTAAGACAAATTTTATTGTTGAACAGATGTGAAGATTTATGCCCAGAAGGAAAACATGGAGAGTCTTGCGCATCAGAATGCAGGTGTCAGAACGGTGGAACATGTAGCCCAAAAACTGGACAATGCTACTGCACTCCTGGTTGGACAGTATGTAAAACCTTCTCTTTTACCTTGTGTGGAAATTATTTACACTTTGCACTGATGCATTGAATTCTCTCTTCAGGGCCTTGTTTGTGCAAATCGCTGTCCTAGTGGCACTTGGGGGCAGGATTGTAAAGTTAGATGCGACTGCTTCAATGGTGCTTCATGTCATCATGAGACTGGAGAATGCCAATGTGCACCTGGCTTCACCGGAGAGAGGGTGTGTATGCTCTGCGTGTTCAAAGCTACAAATACTGCTTCACTATCTTTTTACCTGTATTTTACTTTCATTCACAAATATAATTATTGATTTTATTTCATGCTTCCAAGGTTTTGGTGGAGGTTTGTTATCCAAATTTATGCCTTTGTGTCCTCATAACTGCATTATAATTAGGTTTCCATGGAATATGAAAAAGTATTACATTCTTTCAGTGTGTGGAGCGCTGTCCTGAAGGGAAATTTGGAGAAAATTGTTCCAATAATTGTACATGTTTAAATGGAGCAAGTTGCTCACCAGTAGATGGTGTGTGCAAATGTACTGATGGCTGGAAAGGGCCAAACTGTTCTCAGAGAGCTTGCTTTGATGGATTGTTTGGAGAGGATTGTAAAGGTGTTTGCCAGTGTTCAAAAGAAAATACAGAAGTGTAAGTATAACAACTTCAATAATCACTAGAGAGAGATTGTCAATTGCCCATCAATTAGTTAGGTAAATACTTTCTTGTTAAGATGGTGATCATAGTATCCTTGTTCTAAAATAAAATGTAAGTCAGAGTGACTTTATTCAGCAAATAAAATTCTTTAGAATTTTATTTTCTATTTTGGTTAATGTGACTATTTCCCCTGCTTCAAATACTAAATTGCTCACCATGAAAAATACTTAATAAATCATAATCATTCAGTTGACTTGTTGATAATGTATATTATATATTAATATTTAGGAGCAAAAACCAAGTTATCTTATTACAAGAAAAACAACAAAATTTTGTTAAACAAATAATTTAAAAAAATTTTTTTTAGGTGTCACCCTTGGACTGGAGCTTGTAAGTGTAAGCCTGGATGGGATGGAATAATCTGTTCTCGACCCTGTCCATTATACAAATATGGCCCAGGATGCAATTCTACATGTACATGTCAAAATGATGCACAGTGCTCTCCAGTGAATGGCTCTTGTATATGTGCTGCTGGGTATCGGGGCTTGGATTGCTCTGAGCAGTGCCCTGCAGGGAAGTTTGGTGAAGATTGTGCACATAATTGTTCATGTCGTAATGGTGCTACTTGTTCTCCAGAAAATGGTCGTTGCAACTGCACAGCTGGTAAATGTTATTCAAGTTGCATTGTCTTGAGTACAATTTAATTGAAATGAATATATCATGTAAACATAGTATCTTTGCTGATGAGTTCCATTTCAGATTAAAAATAATTCATATAAATGAAACAATTGTTCAATAAAATGTACTAGTATATAACAACATTTACAATGTCCTGAACAATTATTGATTATAGGATGGGAAGGACAGCAATGTGATAGGCCATGCAACGAAAAATATTATGGAGCTGAATGCAAATTTAACTGCAAGTGTCTGAACAATGCTGCTTGTAATCCTCAAAATGGTGAATATCTGAACTAAAATATTTACAGAAAATGTTTACTGTTCCCATCATTACATATTGTTATGGACGTTTTTTTCTTTTCTGCTTTGCAGGTAGTTGTACTTGCGCTCCAGGGTTTACTGGGGAGGTGTGTGAAAATCCCTGCATATCTGGTTGGTTTGGCCAAGGATGCCAACAAGTCTGCAACTGCCATGATGATAACAGTGAGGGTTGTAATCCTGTATCAGGAACATGTAGATGTAAAGCAGGGTGGAGGGGAGTTCGTTGTGAAACACGTTGCCCCTCTGGAATGACAGGCCGTGATTGCTCTATGACTTGTGAATGCCATAATAACAGTTCGTGTGACCCTGACACAGGTGAATGTTTGTGTGCTAGAGGCTGGGAAGGTCCAGACTGTTCTAAACCATGCCAGCCGGGCTATTATGGTCTGGGATGCAAAGAAAAATGTTCAGATATGGTATATGGTGAGTACAACTAGGGAAAGTATATACATAAACGTAAATTTTGTTGAAAAATTGAAATTTCATGGAGTACTACTTGAAATTTACAATTAACTTAATAATTATTCAATTACAGGAAATCGTACATGTGATCATGTTACTGGGCAAGTTGTTTGCCGACCAGGATACTTAGGTCTCACATGTGAACATCCATGTCCAATAAACATGTTTGGATTAAACTGCTTGAAGAAATGTAATTGCAAAAATGGAGCAGATTGTCACCATGTTGATGGTAAAGTCAAAATCAAGACCTCATTCCTTGATAAATATATAACATATTTTTCCTCCCTAGTTTGGAAGTGTATATGAATATTACAATATTTCTATCAAATATACAGTTAATTGCAATAATCCATTACTTAAAATTATTCCTTTTGGGGACTTCTAAAATACCTAATCAATATTACAAAAAAATGGTCTAGCCTTTAGGAATTTTTCTTTAAAGCCTTAGATAAGCTTTTACACCATTTTTCAAACTATTATGAAATTGTTTCAGAAAAAAGATAAGTAATTTTAAAGTTAAAATTCTTTTCTTAAAATCCTCCCTCTTTGTGGTAGATTGCAAGTCAAAACACTTCATTGCAAAAAAAAAAAAAAAAAAAAAATAGGGCAAAATAAAAATTAATTTCTGATAAAAATATTTTAATATTATTCCACTAAGATCGTCAATATCAATCTATATTTACTTCACATTAAATTTCCTTGTACAGGGAGTTGTCGCTGTCTTCCTGGATGGCAAGGACCTACTTGTGCCATCCCTTGCCCCAGTGGCACTTATGGTATGAACTGCAGTCAGCACTGTAAATGTCTCAATGGTGGCATATGCAGACGAAATGATGGACAGTGTCGCTGCACTCCTGGTTGGATTGGTGAACAGTGTACTGAAAGTATGTACGATCGATTTGTAGGTTTATAAACAATGGGAAAAGTATTTGGAAAAGTGTGGAATGCTGAAACTAATTTGTTTTTTTTTAAACAGTTTGATACCTTAATATCGTATATGTCATGTTTAATTTACTTAACCCATATTTTAATTGTTTCAGTTTGTCCAGAAGGTTATTATGGAGATCATTGTATGACTCCATGTGAATGTAAAAGTGAGAACTTCATTTGCCACGCCATTGAAGGTTGTATATGTAAACAAGGTTATTCAGGTGAGATAATGAATCTGTAACACACTTATTATTTGTTATATATATCAATGTTTGAAATAACTGGCAGATCCACTCTTCTTGGTTTATTGTATCTTCTTGGTCATTATTAACTCATTTTTAATTCTTGTATTTTGATTACACAGGAGAGAAATGTGACATACTGCTTTATAACAATTTTAAAATGGAGCAAGAAACGAGAAGTTATGGAAGCGTGGCAGCTGGTGTTGTAGTGGCACTCATATTGGTAGCTATAATTGTTGCCTTATTACTGTATTATAGAAGGCGTGTTGCAAATCTAAAAACAGAAATAGCTCATGTGCAATACATTGCAGATCCACAAAGTGCTCCAGGTATGTTTATATACCAATTGGTGGATTTGGCATATTGTCAATTTGTATAATGTGTTATAAATTAAAATATATTCAATTATGATAATTATTTTTCAGACCGCCATCACTTTGATAATCCTGTTTATTCATATCAATCAGGACCTCGTTGTGAAGATGGTGCTAATCTGCTCTTAAATAATGCACACAGAACCATTCGAAATGATTTGGGAGGCAAAAATAATAACTTAACCCAAGCAAAATTAGTAGCTGCTGATGATGATGATCATGGTAGTGAGCGTGGTATGTTACTATCCTTTTAATTCCAATTCCATTTCATTGTAAAGTGGAATTCCACACATACAATTAATTTGTATTTTGTATAACAAAAACCTCAAGGAGCCTTATCTTATTATCAACCTTAACTTTCAGGAGCATATGGATTATCTTATGATCATCCAGCATCACTTAAAAACAAGGATGCAGATGCATGTAACCCAAATGTAAATGTGTATCACAGTATTGAAGATTTGAGAGATGATAAAAAAGTGGAACATCTTTATGATGAAATCAAACAAAAAGAAGGTCAAGGTAATTTAAGAAATTATTTTAATATATTTAATTAAGAAAGCCCAAAACAGACCAGAGATAAGTTGTGTATATTTGTTCAATTAGACCTCTTGCTTATGCATATTGCAAATTAAGGCTCTTGTTGGGAGGAGGGGGTGGAAAATATTTTTCTAATCTACCTTGCATACAGACTTAAAAAATACCTTATTTACAATTGTGAAAGGCTGCACGAAAGGCTCTTATTTAAAGACTTCTGCTTTGATTATGTAAAACTTATTTTGTTATGAATAAAATACCAATAATGAGCCGTGGATCCTCGGGGAGTGAAATGAGGGGAAATTTTCCATCTATTTTTTTTCCAATAATTATTAATTTTAACTTGTCACAGAAGTTTAAAGCAAAAATATTTTTGGATTATCATTAAAACTAATAAAATTGCATTGCAGCACGAGCTGAGTGTAGCCTGTAATATTTTACACAATTTATAATATGACATATTTGGCAAAAACATTTTAGTTTCCCCCCCCCCCCTCAAAATTCATCTCTGGTTCCACACCTGAAATAATCCTATACTAGTGGTGATCTTCAGCAAAAATACTCCATACAAAATGGTTTTCCAAGAAGGAGCACACAAACTGCTCAAGAACAACAAATAAAATACTCTTGTATAGCACTGTATAGCACTATATAAATTACATATTTTAACAAAAAATCTTCATGAAAGTAAGCAATAACTTGATATAGTATACATACTGTACAACAGTTTTTTACATACTGACAATATAAAAAATTACTGTTTCATTATGCAAAATGTAAAGAACAAATATTTAACAATGTGTGGCCTCTTCCTGGGATCCTTGCTGTTGCCATGTTGCTGTTGACGATGTTGCAAGGAGTGATGCACTGAGAAAGAGAATTGTCTAAATGTGCAGATAGAACCGGCAGAATAACACAATCAAATATTTGCATTTCTCAGTCAAAATTGAAACTGATGTATTGTTCCACAAGTTCTTCAGTGCAAAAGAACCATAGACCTCTTTCACATAAACAAAGGTTGCATACTTTTCTTTCAGATTCAGTATGGATTGGAAATTGTATTATGGTGTTTTGGAATTTTTCCAGAGTTCCTAACTACCTAACATAGACATCTCACTCATGGTCAGAAGCTAAATAACTTTCTATTTCTGTACACACTAAAAATTAATTGTATAGATAGATATTTGTCACCCAAGGCTGCATAGCTTTTAACAATTTCTGTGAGCATTTGAAATTAATAACATTGATGTCTGTGTTCTCCTCTCAGTTCCTGGGTATCTAACACACCATATGCCCATCACTGCTCAAGACTGCGTAGCTTTTTGTTTGTTTTTTTACATTTCTTCACAAATTTGATATTAGCAATATAGATATTTTTTGTGTTTTTTCTCACAGTTCCTGGGTATTTGATAAAACTATTGACACTTTTTTTTATGGTCAGTCTGCACAGATTTTTAACAATTTCTGTGTGAATTCAAAATTAATGATATTGATGCTTTTGTATTTTCAAAGACTTCAGGTTATGTAATGAACCATAGATACCTCTCTCATGGCTGAAGGCTGCATAGTTTTTTTAACATTTTCTGCCAAATTTAATAATAGTAATACAGATCTTTTAATATTAGTGGATCTATGATAAAAATAAAGAAAATTGGTTTACTATAAATTGTTCTAAACTTTTGCAATACTTAAAAAAAGTTGAATAAGTTAAGATTTTTAAAGCAATAGTAAACATTTTAGCATTGTTATATTTTAGTTCATGTATTGCAACATTTAGTCTATAGAAATAATGCTACAAGTATTATTATATACAAAAAAATTATTCAAATTTTACAAAGTTGAAGTTAAAAAAGACGATACATTTTTCAAGTTCATTTTACAAGTCAGTAAATATTCATACTTTTTTGTGCACATAAACTCTCTACTTGATGTGGAGAAAAAGTAAAAATGTCAGTTTTTATAGATGTAAGATATTCAAAATTCTGTTTTGTACTAATATTTATTTATGTTTTGATTTGATAATCAGAGTCCATGTATTTGTGGTTAGGCACAAGAGAAAAGGGAGGAATAATTTTCCCTAAGAAAATAATCTCTCATCAGACAGAATCAATTTTACAAACCAGGGAATTTGAATTTCCCCCACCCCATCTTGCCATTGATTTGCATATATTTAAATGAAAATTTAAAAAATATTTTTCTCTAATGTTTTGATTGCACCTAACAGAGGTCCATTCCAGACAAATGAAATTGTGTTTAACATAAATGAGATACACCTGCCCAATTTGTGTTGACACTAGTTTTAAATTAGTCTGGAAAGATATTATGGATTTTCTTTTGCTGCTCTTCTTTTCTCAATTTTCTCTCTGATTGGATTAATCTTCAATTCCAGAAATTGAATATGATCACCTTGACTACAGTCGTCCTGGAAGTTCATGGAGACCTCATTATCAGCGCATGGCAAATGGATTAGGTCCTCCAGCCGCAAGCAAAAGCAATGGAGGAGCTCCTGCGGCAGACTGAGCTGACCTAGTCATTTTTCAGAGGTGTGTGGAAATGTAACAGTAAACTCCTGAACCATATTGTGTTCAGACTATCAACTCTGAAGATACAATGGAAGATCCACAGAACCCTCTTACAAAGAGGATCTAATGTGCATTGATATTAATCATGATGAATTGAATAGAACACTTGATGTACCTTGTAGGCCCAGTGATATGAGATTACATGCTCGATAGGCTGCTCTGAACAATTAATGTTGAAGTTTGTTCTACATGGGTAAGCAGAACAACACAACTGAAAAGGTGCAGCAATAACAAGTTTCATGTGGTGTCACAAAAAGGAATTGATTTTTAAGTTATAGATGTAAATTTAATTAAATTTCTCTATTATTTAGTTTTTTGACTTTGTTCCTTAAAACACTCGAATTATATTCTCAAATCTATCTGTAAAGTGCAGCATGAATTATTGATGTTTTATATAGATGTTTATAAATTCTTTGTATGTGATATTAATTTTATTTGAATTCTGTAGTTTATTTAACATTTCACTTTTTAATTTTATTTTAAAAAGAACTTTTTATCAGAATCTGTACAAATTATTTTATCTTTAATCTTGTGTTTGATGAAGTGTTGACTCAAACTAAAGCAATGCATATAAATATAGAATGAAATGCATTTCTCAAGACTTTTGCATAAGATTAAAGCTTAAGCAATGAACTATTGATTAAGATTATTGAAATGTACATTGTGATGAACGATAGTTAAAAGTATATTCTTCCCTTGATTGTTGAACTTGGATATTTTTATTGTCATTCAAAAACAATATTTGATACTTTTAGGTACATTCCAGATGTCAGGAGGTGGAGAATATTTGTAATGTAAAAATTGAATAAATGATTTATCTTAGAATTCTTCTGTGGTGTTCAAATTTTTCACCTGAAATTCCAAGAAAATGCTGCTTTGTAAATTGTTTTCCAATGCGAAAAATTGCAATACTTTTTAATTTGTTCAGTTATTGGAATCTTAATGATCTTGAGAGACAACATGTAAAAGAATGTATTTTTTAAAATTAAGGTTCATCTCAACTTCAAGATGAAATTAATAAGGAAGTATTTAAAACGCAATGGGCAGGGAGGTCTAAAAAATGCATTTATGTAAAAAAAATAAAAAATAATCGCTTGTCCTAACTCTCCGTCCTTTTGACAATTCGGTTTCATGAGTAAACAATTTCACTTTCTTGAGTTGAAAAAAGTAAAAATCAGGGTTTTATATTTTAAAATATTTAAAAAATTAACTTAGAGATTTTTGCTTAATTTTAACATTGAAGTATAAGTTGAAGTTAATTTAATACGTATTTCAAAAATGCTGTGAGATCGTGTTCTTTTTTTCCCCACCAATTCCTCCCCTGCCCCTCCACGTTGTTCGGCTTTCAGTTGTGAATACCGGCCTCTCTACCCCCCCCCCTTCCCAAACATATTTTTTAAGCGGCCCCGTACTAACGAGTATATCTGCCCCATACAAGAAGGTTACACTCGGCCGGAGACGTTATCAGTTAACTGGTGTTATAAATTATTAGGCCCTACCTGTTGCTTGCTGCTGTTGCGCTCCATCGGCTTTGCAAATTCTCTAGTTAAACTCAACTGCCGTGTCGCACATTAACTCAATATCATGTAGTCTACAATTCGTCAGTGAACCCATTGATGATAGCGTGCTGTGTCGAAGAGATTATTGAAGTGAGAGCTAATTCTTAGATGGTCAGAAATAAGCCTATACAAAATAACAATCAGTGCTAAATTCGGCAGAGAGTTCATAAATTACGTCATAAATTAATCTACTAAAACCTCGATAATTGCTATTCCCTCTTTCAATTTTTTTCTCCCTCAAGGCAAATTAGTCTACAAATCAGATTAATAGGATGACAAATTTATCCGAATGCGATGCAATTAGGAATCAATATTTATAGTGGAGCAAAAGTGCTTATTTAATGATTAAAAACCTGTAATCGCTTATCAGTACAACAACAATATACAAACTGAACCAGTTGTGAAAAATCACAACTTGTAGATAATTACAGATAGAGACATGCTATTGACATATTTTTCATTTCACCAGTGTCTGAACACCTGCTTGCTTATGTGCAAAGATGTGCTCGCCGTCGAGTATAGCGTTCTGCCCGGGCACTAGCAGCCATTTTGGTATTGCATTTGACAGGATCAATATTATTATTGTTTAGAGTGAAAGTATTTGCGATTGAAGCCGTTGTTGCACGACTGTGGACCATGATCTTCAATATATTTTTAATCCAAGTTGCACGGTCCACTTTGTCTCATGAAATGTAAGACTATAGTAAAATCGTCCTTCCGATGAATGCGAAGCTAGTGGCCTAAAGATTTATAAGTAAAAATATCGCAATTAACATGAGCAGAGGTAGAAATATTGTTTTGAATAAAATAGCACGTACTTTCACGGAAAGTTACGCAAAAAATACTCGGATATTCAAAAAATTGTACGTGACCTTCAAAATCGTATCTTTAAGGAACAGAATCCATTAAAGGTAAACATTTCTACCTTCATAATTGTAGTTGTAGGAAGACTCCGAAAACCTTTTGAACTTCGCAATTTTTGAAAAATCAGAGTTTTTAACGATAATGAGACCTGCAGTATTCTCTATCCAACAACACAATGTAATTAAAAACGATGGTGCCATTCTTTTGAAAATATCTCAGGTGTTTTGTTTAAAGTAGGGGAAACTCGTCCAAAATGGGGAAGCTAACATATTTTAACATATAGCAAAATACACTATCAGTACAAAACAGTTTGAAAAACATTTCAATGTTGAGTTGAATATGTTAGATTTTTTTTTTTTTTTTTTTTTTTTTTACAAAATATTGACTTCGATAGAAAAGTACGTTTTCGTGAAAATGTGCAATATCGCCGTTTGGGTCAACCGGTTGGCTAAAAGGAGGTACTCGCATTAAAATGCTAAAATATTGAAGGCATTTATTACAAAACATTTATTGAAAGTCAATAATCAAATTAAGTAAACTATGACAAGAACGAACATAAGAATAAACATCTTATTACTTTGTTTATTTGTTTTTTATTAATATTCTAGTTTGTACTGGGACAAAATAGGCCCGAAATCACGCACAAAAGTCACAAAGGTGTCATCTCTTCTTCAACATTGAAACAGGCTCATGGGTCCAATCTTGACAGGTACAACACTCATCCAGGTTTTGATCCTCTTGAAATTTGTCTAAAGCTCGTCGTAGAAGATACAGGTATCGTCAACATTTTCTTCTTCGGAACTAATCAAGGTTTCCTAAGCTTTCTTTTTTTCCCTTTCTGAGCTTTAGGCGTATTATATTTATTAGATTTTTTGAACAGACCTTTCTTCTGTTTATTATTTGTTTTTCCTTTGTTCAATTTTTATTTGCTTCGTTCAAAACAGGGGCATTCCCGTTTGGGGCTGCTTCAAAGTCCCCATTCGAACACACCATGACGACCACTAGCGTCTTTTTGCAACCAAGCAAGATAACGTAATAAATTATATGTTAAAATGTACTTTAAATCTAGGAGAATCAAAGGTATACTCACCAATAGAGAATGAAAAAAGTACCTTGTTAAGATACACCCATACACTAGGTAGACGAAATCATAGCGAGTTGCAAGAAAAACACTGCCATTTTCGTAAAATAAACAATTACAAGTATACACATCCACAACTTCTCTCAAATTCTTTGACAGGCCCTCTACAATAGTAGTACCAAGTTTGGCCACCATAAGTATCCCTTATCAGTAAGAAACTGAATAACCTTGTTTGATCTATCGTCCCCATTTTGAACAACTTTATCCTACCCCCAAAATTAAAATGTTGGTTTCAAACTCAAGGGGCTGCAACATCAATCAGATCGATTGAGGAATATAAATTTTGGAGAAAATCGGCTGAACGGTTTTGCCGCTGTTCACAGATAGACTGACGGGCCAAACAGCAAATTCTACGCCAGAAGTCCACTTCAAGGGCCAGCAGCTTCCCTTTTGTTCTTTTATCAATCTCCCAAACTTTTGAACCGTATGTTGTAACACTCTTAACTAGTGAGGAGTAAATGTCTTTTCGTAGTGTTAGTGAGGTTTTGTTTCATAAGACAGAGTTTATACTTCGTGTCTCCCGCATTCGTCTCTCAATTTCTTCTTGGCTATTTCCCTTATTGTTAAAAAGTACACCAAGGAATTTATATTTGTTAGCTCCTTTAATTTTTCTTCCATTTTGCAGAGAATTTATCTACTTTTTCGTTATTAGAACCTTATAATAAAATTTTTTTTGTCGAAAATTCGTCGTTTTTTCGCGTAACATTACATAACTTTCTCTCTACGCCGTAATGAGAAAGTAACAATGACATGAAAAAAATGTTTAATCATGTGCACATACTATTTAAAGTGTCTTACATAAATGAAAATAAATGGGTTTCATTCATTAACCCATTAGGTCCAAATTCAGAAAGCATAAAATTGCTTCATGGCAATTCAGAATTTAAAACCGATATAAGAATTAGGTATCCTAAAGTTTGAGTTCGTGTCTCTGAACGAAATGTGTTGGAAAAATCCTATAATCTAATTTATGCCTAATATGCCCTATTTGGCGGTAAAAACCCTGAAAATGAAAACACGTATTGTACTCAAGACGAATAAGAAGAGGGTAAACTGGGGCTAGTTGGCACTCGAGTTCCTACAGCGGCCACGTCATTTCTGTTAGCCCTAGCTTTGTGTCACGACTCCTTCACAACCTCGCGAATTTCCCACAGACGTCTCAGTAAAATCAGTCCAGTTATGGTGGAATAGTGATCTCAAAAGTGGTTGGTGGTTTAGGGCTTGGAGAGTAATATTTTTGTAGTTCACTGTCTTCTGTAATTTTGTGAGGGATAGATTTTGCTTCTTTATGTTCTTTAGCTGAAATATTCAACCAAGATCTTGATTTTCGTGTATCATTTTTTATTTCCTTCACATACACAGCTTCGTTTAATAAAAAAATCCCCTTGGGGGCGGGTTGTCACTTTTCATTTGAGTTTGGTTGACAGTGTCAACCAGTTCCATCCTCTGCCAGCCATATCCAGAAATTTAACTGTTTTTCTGATCTTTTTATTCTCAACTAGGTAAAAGACAACAAAGTGAATAAATTTTCGAGGTTTTCTTAAAAATATTCGGGCTACAGATTTTTTTACGGGAAGCTCAGTGGCCAATCAATGCACATCTTTAGCCTCTAGCGCTGTTCTCAGACAGACGGACAGAAGTTTTGCCGTAAATCAGTTTTCGGTACCAAGGACCCACAAAACATGGATTATGGCTACACCACGTGTTAGAAGTCTTTTCTGCACTTAGCATTTCGATTTATCCACTTTTCCGTTACCACGGCCCTGTAAGAAGTGGGGAATGTTTTTGCCGAAAATTCGCCGGTTTTTTTTTTTTTTTTTTTTGCGCAGCATTACATAACTTTTCTCAACGCGATAGCGGTAGCGAGATAGGAAAAACAAGATTAAATATCAGTTACAAAACACAATAAAAACTAAATAAATAAAATTCGTAATAACATTTTCTAATTTAATCTTTCTTGAGGCGCACGCTTTGCCGTTAAGTCGAAGCCTCCTCGAGCATTTCCACTAGGAGAGCGTTGCCATTGCATTCTTCAGAGGCGCCAGTGCAGATTTTGACGTACGAATTGATCGCTGAATACCTCAATTCCGGATTCCTTATGTACATCCATGGTATGAGAAAACGGCCCTCTGTCTATCCACGCACCAATTCTCCCTCCTATTGAATCTTGAGCGCGGAGAATTTCATTTCGCAGAGAGTATGATATTAACGTGTCGAATCACCTGCACGCATAGTCTTGATTTTCACACCAGATGAATTTGCCCTCGGGCTGCACCTGATTATTACGAAAGCTCAGATTAATGAAATAATAGTATATTATCCAAGTAGTTTGTACTGTTAAGCTTTATTGTATAAGTACATGGTTTGAGAACGAGCGATGGTACTAGGAGCGACTTTTCAAATACGTACAAATGCAGTATGGAACATTATAATCGAGTTGCTTAAGTTATTTTTTTGTAACCGCATTATAAAGTTATAATGGTTAAGGTGAATCAAGGTTAATCTTTGGAAACCGTTGTTATGACCTCATGTTTGAAATCAATTGTGAGAAAAGATGGTGGTCGGCTGTGCGCTTTGTAGCCACCGACGTAAGATTGGCTCGCTGCGATTGTCTGAATGTGTGATGACGCAATTATTCGTTCTCTAAACGGCTAATACGTCTTATCTGTGCTATACAACATCGTTTTATGAACGATTTCTTGTAACGAAAAAGGTCGTTTATAATGCTGGTATTCAAAAATCCAAGTTTCTTGCAAGTGAGTCACCACTGTAGTTCAAATAAGTCGAAATAAGCATCCAATTTTATTTCTCATTCTTGAACCTAATTTAGGTCACGTCTTCTCCGTTTGAGCCCAGATTTTTACACCCACTTGGAGAACTCCCGTCTGACCGTGGCCCGCATCCATTTCTGGCTCCAAGTACGCCATCCGTCTTCAGGGCCAAAGCTACGGTTCCCGTTTGTTCGCGATATCAGTGATAAGAAAATGTATTTTGCATTATGATGTACTAACTTATAAACAACTCGAAATAACCTGGAGTGTCTGCGATTTCCGAGAAACGGGAGAAGGCACGCGAGAGCGTTCGAAAGAGCCGCCGATGTAGGGCGGCCGAGGAGGAAAAGCGAGAGCGGAGAACGGCCGGGAGGCCAACCGTGTGCCCGTGAGCCAAGCAGGCGACAGACGCCTCCGGGCCAGTTCAACATGCGATCGTACGGCGTGCAGGCAGCGGAGAAGAAGGGAGCGCTGGAGAACGGTAAAGTGTTGTCAAGTGATTGGTGTGAATGGCTCTGTCACGTGTGCGGCCTTATGCAAAATTGCCGGAAACATGCTTATAATTTAGGGGTAAAAATTGTGGGAATGTTTTCTTAGAAAAGTTATGACATCAATATGTTGTGACAAACATCAAGAGTGGTGTTAAATCAACAATGTTAAATTCAGAAACAACAGGATGTAATTGGAATTGAAATATTACATTCATTGATAAATTCTCTATTTCATTTCTTATGTTTTCATATTCGTTAATTTCGCTAATTATTGTATTAATCAGTTCCTAGCTGCATCTCAAAATATAATCCTATGTGGATGGATACAGAGAGTATTTTTCTGAAGATCATACAAAATTAGGGGTTTTAGTCAAATCTGATTCGTTATGGAAACAATATCAAGAAAACTGTGTCCAAATGTTAGTGACTTATTCTCTACTGTGATTCCTTTCTTGATATCATGAAGTTTCAGAAACGTTCTATAAGATAAACTGTCACTGTTGAAGTTACGACGCAAGACTTCCAGGGAAATAAAAAGTATATTATGGTGGGAATTACAGGTCCAGATGTACCGCCGGAAGGATCGCCTGTGGATTTCGAAAAGGCCATTGCACTCACTGGTGAGCAATTACGTTATTAAACCATGTACTAGAATATCCAGAGTTTTTACTATTTTTGAGTATTCGAACAAATCGAAATTTCAGTCTAAAAGTATAACATCATATATTTATTAAAAATAGATCCTTAGATGTTAAATTGGGTGGGGTATTGCATTTGAAACATATGTGTTCCTTTCAGATGCACAGTCTGATAATAAATATTTTTATGCTACGACTTTGATTTATTTTTAGTTTATTTTTAATTCATTTGATATTTTAGATTGTTTTTTAACCTAGAGTTTAAAACTATGATGACATGAATAACATGACATTTCGGACGCTGTTTTCTCAAACTAAATTCCATGTATGTGTCTCACTTTTAATTCTATAACCTTAATTTCATTATTATTTTTTACTTACAGTAAGCATTAAAATTATCACCTTCGAATAATTGTTTACAAAGACAGACAAATATATGTTCGTTCTCGGGAAATAGAGTAAGTGTATTCAGTCTTTGTACATTAAGTCAGCTAATAGATGCACACCCTTTTCCTTTACCAAATTATGTCGATTGTGTGCATGACTGTCATTTTCTTTCTTTCCTGATATAATTACGATTACAAACCTCAGAAATTTTCGTGAGATCCCTTGGATATAAATATTTATTTTTAGGTCATACGCTGGAGATTTACATCGTGGATTGTGTGCATTTTTTAAATGTACTGTTCTCCGAATTTTACATGTACAAATGAATTTTTTAATGCTTATGCGCATGATTCTTTTGCAGCAGTACATTTCATGTAGTCGGTTAAAGCCTTTAAGGCCAAGGCCTTTAATTTCTTTAAAACCTTTGTGAGAAAAATGCTCGAAATGGAAAATTCATCGTAATGAAAATTATGATTGAGAAGAATAAAAGTATATACACACTAGTGTGACTTTCGAATTCTAATTGAGAACAAAATAATTATTGTAAGAGAAGCTAATTATCACAAATGCATTTCCTTTTTCTGAGGCTATTGCAAGACTCAAGATCACATTTTAATACCATGCCAACATTACTGAATTTCTATAAATCGGTTTTCTCTGAAAACTCTTGCTGTATTATAGCACCAATATAACAATACTCATTTCTGATTTTCGTAAATTTTTGGTTTGACAACTCATAATAGGAGGTTCTAGACCAAAAATATAACTGGAACACATTATCTGTAAGCAAATCCTTTTCTGAAACAAACTTAACCCATTAATGTCCATTGCCTCAAAAATGGAGTAAGTCAACTTCAACTTTATTCCTTTTCTCAAATAACGCTATTGCGAATTTTATTTCTTCAATAAACAGCGGCGTTTAAATGAAACACGTATGCAAGTAGTGGCACTGCTGAATGCTACTCGTAGATGTCTATTTAGCCGAGATCGCCGATGCATTTACGTTGCTAGCCAATTACGACTTGCGCCGCCATTCATGACGCGTCGGTTCGAATCATCGAAAATCGCGTTTAGCTGCTTATTGTAGTATCGTTGCAGGGAGAGGCTGGTTTAAGGTGAGTCTTGTGGTTAATGTGATGATTGTGGTTTAACAACCCAATATGTTCTGAATAAAAAAGGGGCCGGAAATCCTTTCCCTTCGCAAATTCATTTTTGAATAAAAATATTGGTCCCATGAAGTCTCACAGAGCCAGAGACTGAGAGTCACGGAGAGTCATAGAGAGAGTCAGAGAGCGAGAGTGAGAGAGAAAGAGTGCGCGAGAGTGAGAGAGTGCGCGAGAGTGAGAGAGTGCGCGAGAGTGAGAGAGTGAGAGAGTGCGCGAGAGTGAGAGAGAGAGAGTGCGCGAGAGTGAGAGAGAGAGAGTGCGCGAGAGAGTGAGAGAGTGCGCGCGAGAGTGAGAGAGTGCGCGCGAGAGTGAGAGAGTGCGCGCGAGAGTGAGAGAGAGAGAGTGTGTGCGCGAGAGTGAGAGAGTGTGAGAGTGTGGGATAGAGTGAGAGTTACTATAATATTTATGTCAAAACATACTTTTTGTGATAATGAGTTATATCTTAATATTTAATAATGTGACTTTTCTTGTGACTTAGTAGATGTGTAATACTTTGAGGAATAAAACAATTTCGCCACTTTCCCATTTTCCCTCTCCTTGCTCCTCGTAAATATTCGCGCTTAAAAAGATTACCTTAGCAATGTTTACATATGCATGCTTCTTCCCTACAGCTTAACGGAAAATGCTAGCTGTAATACCGGTATTTCAAAAGATGACTTATTTTAAATTGCGTGTTCTAAAATTAACTCCAAGTACTGCCAATGTGATTATATACTCATGTTGTGCAAAAAAAATGAGTACGACTTTTAGAACATTCTATACTATGTCTAAAAACTAACATACCTCACTTCTCAAAATAAATGTGAACGAATTTACAAATGATTTATGAAAAATCATATGTACCGTAAAAAACAAAAAAACTCACTGTCACCGTCGTTGTGGTTGTTGTTTAAAAATTGTGTCGTAATCTGAAAACACGGCCAAAACCGTAGATGGTTTAATGCGTTTCCACACGTTGGGCGATATTCCGAAAAAATCAATTTTTTGTCCCGCGAGAGAGAACGGTTTTCTAGCTCAAAAAGTGGAATTCCGCCTATTCTGGCAACCGTAAACACGATATGTTATGAATTAACAATGTAGCGGAATTTCATTATTTGCCAGCAAATACATTTTTGAAATTTAATTAATAGAAATTTTGTTTTCTGTTTCATTTTGTTAATAGTAATTGGTAGTAGATATGTAGTGGGTTGTGTTACAAGGCTCATGTAGTTTCGGTATCTTCAGTAACTTGGTACAGTTTCGAAAGGATGACGACGTGAGCTGGCAAATGACACGTCAGTCACACACCCGCCAATCTTGGAACAGTAGCTTGATAACATCATCTTAGTAACTCATTACATACAGCGTTATACGGAGTAGCGTCAAGACAGATTTTGCTTTCCAGGTAACATGATTGCACCATCACCGGAAATTCAAGTGGTGCTGCAGAATGGCACAAATTTTCTCATTCTTGTTAGCTTTCTAATTTATTTGGCCTGGGCTACCTTTCGGTTTTACCCTACTCCCCAACTGCCATCTATCGATGCCCAAACTTCAGTTTTCACATTTGCATAATTATGTCATATTATTTAGTTTATTTAGCACTTGCCGTTGACAATTTTCAAGAAATAATTTGGAGCCTTTTTGCACAAAATGACGTATCAGGGTTTCTAAAAAAGCGAAATTTCGAGCTCATTTTCAAAGGAAACGTTTGAGTTGTCGAGAAACTTCACAAGACATAATTTGAAGAATATATACATAGAAACGGAATTATGCATACCAATCACCAGTAATGTAAATATGAACTTCGCGAAAGAGGTGTCAAATTAATTTAAAATGGTATTTTTTGAAAAAACTAAAGAACACAGCTCATCTTTTACATTGGAATTAGCATTATCTCTTCTAAAGATTTAAAGATAAACTTTGGAGCCGTTTTTTTGACGATCTTTTTTTAAAAGATTGTTCATATTTTACACAAAAATCCGCCCAGCCTAGGGCAATTTTTATAACAATGTTCATGACTTTGTTGAAAAAACTAATTAAGGAGAACAAACTAATTTGAAGAAAAATTTTCTAAGTTTAATATTGTATATTGTAGGAAGACGCACAAAAAATTCAAACTTTTGCAATTTCCAAAATTTCAGAGTTAAGAGTGAAAATCGCGCATACGCCATAAGCTTATATATTATACTTTAAAAGCGTTTTTATCTATCCTACAAGAAATTTAAAGAAACAAGTTTGAACAATTGTTGAGAAAATTTTGAAAATGCTTCAGGGGCTTCATGAGAACTAGCCACAAATTTAAACGATGATCTTCAAAATCGCGGAGCTTCGAGTCGTTAGCGTATCGGACTGTTGTACCTAAGTTGGCGGGTTCAAACCCCATCGATGCCGTGGATTTTTAAGGGCGAAAAAATCCTTCGTACGCCTTCCTTCGGAGGGGAAGTAAAGCCGGCTGTCCCATGTTAGTATATTTACTTGCATGTAAAAGATCCTCAAGCCTAAATGACGCCTCTGAGCTAAATTCAAAATCGCCTGTTTCTCGCACAAGAAATACCTCCTTCCTCTGCTAGTGAAAGGAGCGCAGCGAAATTCGCGTGGTCAGACGGAAGAGCGGGCCCGATGGCTCGAGTCTCGCCACGTAAAATAAGGCATTAATTCAATTCAATTTCAAATTGACGGCGGGGAGTGTACATTTTGGAAAAAATCCTGGATTAGTTTAAGCGCTAGTGTTGTTCACAGACGGACGGACGTTTAAAAAACTGCACAGTTTTGGTTTTAGAAGACCCTAAAAGTCTTTATTCCGTTGAAATCTAGAAAAGATACAGCATTACATAAATTTCTCTATAATACGAGTTCATATGTTGCTCCGTACCACGATAGCCACTCAAAGTATATTCTCTCATTTTTGCTCAATTTTTCGGTTCCTAATGGTAAAACTGATATTTAACACTATTATAGATGAGTAAAACGTCTTCCTATATGGCAATTTTCGAAACATTTTTGAGAAAATTTTGAAAATGTTCCAGACGTTTCATGTACAATACTCAAAACATTTAGACAATGTTTTTCAAAATCGTAGAGCTTTCAGTCGAGCCAGATCGATCGATCGAAATAAAACCGAAAAGCTAATTCAGAATAAAATTAGAAAACTAACTAGTGCGAGAAAGTCTGAGCCATTCTGTAGCACCAGAAGTTATTTTCTCGTATAGGTACGGAGTAACATATGTACTCGTAGTATACATAAATTTACGTAATGCTGTATGTTTTCGAGATGGACGGACGGTCGGACGCAGGAACGGACTGACTCACACAGACGGGTGGACTGACAGAAGCACACAGATGGACTGACACACAGATGGAGACACGCAGAGAGATGGACGCACTGACAGAGACATACTGACACACGGAAATTAAAATGCTGATTCCTACCTATATGGAATGGCATTTTAATGTTGATTCCATTTTTATACCCCAGAGTTGTTAGCCCTGGAGGATGAGATGATATTATGATGATGATGACGATGACGATTAATGATGAAATAGATACAACAATGCCCAAGCCGGGCATTGCGTTCCTGCGTTCCGGGTCACGACCGCTACGGCACTAGCGATTTCGGCCATCGGAACGGCATTATTATTATTATTATTATTATTATTATTATTATTATTATTATTATTATTATTATTATTCCAATTAGTCTCTTCTCCCTTATCGTAAAGAACATGAAGAATTGGCTCACTTCCGCGAGAAATTGGCGAACAACAACAAGCCCCCACGAGTTGAATGAATATCCAATTTATAACCTCAAAATTTTAAGATAAAAAGACACTTCGCCACGCATATTCAATTTCACGGCGAAGGTCAGCCCTTCGATCTATGGGATTATCATAAAATATTCTGAAATACATCTACAACAAGCCCTTCGATCTATCGGATTATCATAAAATATTCTGAAATACATCTACAACAAGCCCTTCGATCTATGGGATTATCATAAAATATTCTGAAATACATCTACAACTAGTGGTGCTCAGAATGGCACAGACTTTCTCGTAATATTTTCAATTTTCTTCGGTCTGGACTAGCTATTCGAACTTGGCTCATACTCTTGCAAGCTACCATCACCGCCCAAAAAATTTGTTTTTTAAACTTTTTTCAATTCTTCGTTTCCTAAGAGAAGAACCGAAATATTTAAGAATATTAAAGAATAGTAAAACTTCGTCCTAAATGGCAATTTTTGTTGAAAATTTTAAGAAAATGGCGCTTTGGCATTTCTGTAAATGCGAAATTTGAAGCTCATTTGCACAGAAAATGTTTGAGTTTTTGAAAAAATCTTTTGAAGTCATTTGACTTCAAATGACTTCAAATGTACTTTGTACTTTTACTCACAAATGCTATAGCTTTTCCAAATCGCTGGAAATATGCATATTAACGGCGTGAGATATTTAAAAAATACACTTTTTGAAAAAAAATGAATACTCCAAAATACACTTTATGGCATATTAAAAACAAGCTATTAGCCCTATCCGTTGGGAAAGTTCGAAGAAAAAGTTTGAGCATTTCTGAAAATACGGTATTTTGAGCACATTTTCACAGAAAACTTTTGCATTTTCGAGAAACTTTATGTGACAATTTAAACACCCAATTTAAATATTAACGACGTGAAAAGTTAAAAAATCTCTTTTTGTATTTATTTGGAATGAAAACAATTAGCAATATGGCGTTTACTTCATCTCATAGAGTTAATTTATCACTAACCCTACAAAAAGTTTAAAGAAAAAATTGGAGCCGTTTTTCAGAATATTCTGAAAATGTGCGGAGGGCTACATGTAAAGTACTCTCAAATTTTAAAGGATGTTTTTTAAAATCCCAAAACTTCGAATCAATCCAGATTGATGGGAGTTTCTTCAATTTAGAAAAAATTTCTACGTATGGTTTAGGCGCTAGTGATGTTCACAGACGGACGTTTTGCTGTAAATTGGTTTTTCGGTATCAAGAACCCACAAACCAGGAATTCCCGCTACATCACGTGTTAGAGGTATTTTTTTTAAATTTAGCAACTGGATTTATCCCCTTTTTGGTCATCAGGGCTAAGATTTTTTTCTTCCGGAATTTCGCGGGTATTGCGCGCAGCATTGCGTAAATATTTCTATATTCCGCATATACGTACGTATACAATAAAGTAAAAATTGCCAACGCATTTTACTCCAAATTAATTGTTTACTAAATACTCGTAGTCGCACTTGCCCTTTCGCGACGCGTGACTAATTTCGTAACGTGCATGATGCAAGGCTGCATCTTACATCACGACCCTCGCTATCTTATCGCACCAAAAAGTAGCTGTAGAAAAGTTCGAAATATATTCGCTGAATGGAAAATCGAAACTCCAAAAATATCATCTCAAGTCGTTCAGTACGTATTCTAGAAATGAAAGAAGAAGAAAGAGAAATAAATGAAACAATCACTATTTAGAGTAAACACAGTTAAACAAATTTTTTAAATGGAATCGAAATGTTTTGTTTATACCAAAATCTGAGATGTCTGCTGTTGTCAGCAATAGCAAAGAAATTCTCCTTCTCACCTTAACAACACTAAAAGCGCCTAATACTTCAAGATGAAATTATGTTATTTTATGCAGAATTATTTGTTGTTGCACATTCATCCGCACGGAGAATGAAAATGAATACAGCATCGTGACATCGAGTTAGTCTTGCCAAGATTTCTCAACCTTGCGCGAAAATTAAAAGGAATCGGGAGAAAGACAGAACCAGTTTCATTTTTTCACTTAACAAAACGCAAATTAAAAAGTATAATAAATATCAAACTAGTACACTTATCATGGACAGAGCTATAACAATCCAGGTGGATCCAGGTGGCATTTGTGGCGGGCAAAGTGTGTACTCTCTCCAGTTTTCAGTATATCATTTCTCCCTCCCTCTCATTGATCCGACAAGGCGAAGACATGCAGTACATAATAGTACATGGATTGATAATAGACTATGTAATGAAGGCGTTGTCATTGCCAAGATTGTTTTTTATTGCATTAGCAGCGTTCTATGGCTTAGCTAACCACCACCACCACCATCATCATCATTATCATTATCATTATCATCATCATCATCTGATATCTGCTGCGGAGAAAACATTGACTTGTCTTTTATTCGCATATTTGGAAAGACAACAATACATCACAAATAATCAAATCGTGGAATGATTTCCGCAACCAGTGTTTTTCGGGGAGAGAGAAACTCATCATGTGACAGAAAGACACCAATAAACATTGCCTCTGGACGGACCACACCGGCTGAATTAGGTCAGAGCCAGCTTTCCGTCGCAGCAACTCTGACCGGGTGGTCCGGGAGGTCGACGGTGGCGGATTTGCGGTACTAGTTACATAGTTAGGACGAATTCAGCCGGTTTCTGGAGAAGAATTCTAGCGTTCAGTTGTTATAAGCAATGGTTTTCCGTGCTTTCTCCGATCAGCACCGGGTAAATGCCGGAGCAGTACCCTAAGAAACGGGCAACGAACCGCGCGCGACCTTTCCTTCTGCTTCCTTGTCCTACCCTCACCTCTATACTTACACCAATAAACTTACATGCACTACAGTCCCTCACATGTCAGAAGACCGGTCGGAAGCTCAGAACTTGTCCTGGTTGTGACAGTGCTCCGTTGGGGGGAGGGGGATACCTGGAAAGGGAAATCGCCCGACATGTAGGTCGTCGCAGGATACGAGGAACATAGACACCTTTCAACCCACTAGAGTAAGTGAACTAATGACAATAGAACATGCCGTGCCAGAACACATCAATCAATCGACAAGCCACGAGCGTTTCCTCGACAGGCTATGGAAAATTCAACTACCTGCTGATGTTGGCGGCGCTGCCGTCGGCGATGGTGAGCGTGTTCGACACGACGACCATGGCGTACATCCTGCCCGCGGCGGAGTGCGACCTACAACTGACGTCGGTGGCGAAGGGCGCGCTCAACGCCATCACGTACGCCGGCATGATCAGCTCGTCGCTGCTGTGGGGCGCGCTGTCCGACCGCCTGGGGCGCCACCGCCTGCTCGTCGCGGGCTACCTGCTCGATTTCGCGTGCGGAGCCGCCTCCGCCTTCGCGCGGGAGCTCTGGGTCATGCTCCTGCTGCGCTACCTCGTCGGCTTCCTGTGAGCACGCTCTTCAAGTCGACGATACGTCTTCACAAGTGAACGATTTATTTCAGGAACAAATAAGGCGGTGTTTTTACTGATTGGCTGTCCGGGGGTCGCTGCGTCCTAGGTACTGGTGCAAACATAGGCCGCTGTTCTGCGACGTTCCTCAGGCGGCATTTTTCCCTGAGGAAAGTCGCAGAAAAGCGGCCGAAACGTTGGCACCTACGGATTTAATAGAATGCAGCGTTTCCCGGACAGCCCAGCAGCCATTGACTTTGGTCTCAGAAGCCTACGCTTTCACGAGTGCTTTCTTTGTTGCTATTTTCCTTCCAAAAATTACACAATGTGTTGCAAGGTCATATTCAAAGGTTTACTGAAAACTTACTGTCCACTGACGTATGACTTGCGGTCTTTCTGGTATAAACATTCAAATATAGTTACTATACAATTTTTTACAGTAACGAAAGTCATGTAATATATCAAAAATAAAATAAACAAATATAAGTACATTTTCAATTCAGCTTAAATCAAAAGTTCATTTTAAGAAAAAATAGGCGTCGAGTGGACCATTTACCCGTTAGACTCCCTCATAAGAAAAATCTTGGTTGTTCCAAAAATGTTATACTTGTGTCCACAAATACAGGCGTTTCTCTTTTAAAAATAACAATATAATAATGCATGGAGTATACCAAAACCGTTAAGTTTTTTAATGTAAATAAATTTTGTCAAATTCATTCAAAGAACAGAGCATCATACTCGCAGAACTTCCGTATCAGAACAGTAGATCTTTGCATCCTTCGCGTCAGACTCTAATCTCTCAAAATTATTCGTGTAAGTTTGGAATCGAAAGAATTATTGATCACCGCTCATTTCACTTCTTAACTGCTTAGGGACACTTTTTAGAGGAAATTTTTATTTATTCTGGTAAATTTCTTGTTATATATACACATTGTTATCATCTATTTATATCTGTAAATGGTGGTTCATTATTATCTTGAGTTATATTTAGTACTCCTAATTTTATTTGTTTACCTTTCTGTGAGGATTTTATATATTTTTATTAAAAAAGATACATCAAAGAAAACACTATCCTCGTGTATACCGTACTCCATGAACTTCTTGCTCCGTTTCGAGCGTTCCACGGTGATTAGGAAATACGTTGCTTGAAAAAAATCAAAATGAAATTTTACCTGTTTCTTAACGTATATATACGGTTTAAAATGTACGTGATGCTTGTATCATTTGCTTCAATTCGTCAAGTAATTACAACTAGAGAGGTAATGAAATATATTTAACTACAAAAAACCGTCACAGGATTAATTTATACACTATTACTTAAAACAACATAGTGTATTCAATATTACTTATTGTTTCATGTAAAATAAATAAATCACTCTTACTCGATAATGGTTTATGACATTAAACTCGTTGACTTAGAAACATTTAGTAGCTTTTCGATATGATAAAAGCAATGCTTGGAGGCGGTGGAATCCCGAAGTGACTTTTTCTTCTATGATACTCATACATTTTTGTGCTTGAAACAAAACTCTTTATATTTAATTTATTTTATTTCTGTATGTTCTCGTTAAATGTACACAGACACATTTCAATTTGTGAAGTATTTTATAAGTCTTTCGTTAATGTTTGCGCTATAATTTGTCAACTCCTGATTTGTCGATAACATTCAAATAATTACTTTATTCTATAAACATGAGATGTTACTAATTAATTTCACTTTTCTGTCTAGAATATGTGGACCCTACGCCATTCTCATGTCCTATTTGGCAGAATTCCATGGAGCTCAATATCGTTCCCGCATCATAATGTTCACTGGAGTAGCGGTGTCAATAGCGAATTTCTCTCTTCCAGGTGAGTCCCCCGTGATTATTGCTGTGTATAGTTTCTAAACGTCGATTTGTGTTCGCAGCAAGTAATACTATGAATGTGCTCTTTGTTTGTGAAGTATCTTAACAGTGTTGGCAACGTTAAAGCATGTAACGTAGTTGCCAAACAGATTGAGAGCAGACAATGACCTTTGTATTCGCAGAAGAGTCGAACAACAAGGAAAAGTGGTTTATTAACTGAATGGACTTTTTAAAAGTCAAAATATTTTTGGTAATAAAATTAAATAATAGTTCTAAATTTCTTAATAACACCTGTGGAAAATACTTTTTTTTACCTTAAGCGTATCATAAAGAAAAAACTTCTGGTAAAATTGTAGAAAATATTAAAAAAACAAAATAGTACATTATTGTCAAAGATTATAAAGATCAAATTCTGATAAGATTCAGGGAAGTCACAGGGAGCTCACACACCTTTCTGAAAAGTTGTTGAAATAAAAATTGAAAATAATTTAAAAGTAGTAACTAAATTCCTGGTAAATTCTGAGTCATTTCATGTGTAAAAATATCACACTAGCACGTTCTTCAAAAAAACTAAGTACTAAACAGTAAATAATTTCCTTTTCAGTACTTCCCTCACAGACACATATTTTCTAAGTCCTAGTTTTTGTACAATAATTCTCATTTTTTTCTATTAGAGGCTAAATATGTATAATTCAGAGATTTTTTTACATGTCACATTATTCAAGGTTTGTTCCTAAAAGAGGCAACTTGAAAATTCGGAAATTATCTACGTAGTATGCATTACGTTAATAGGAACATTGTACTCAGAATGAAAACGTTTTTGTTACCTTTATTTTTATGGTCTAATAATACTGCACACATATGCTTGCAATATGCGCGAGTTTATTTACATTTATTGTATTTCAGCAATATTTCTGGATTCAGGAAATGAAAGGATAAGAAGACAGTCTTAAAAATCTACCTCTTATTGAAATTTCTAGGGCACCCTAACACAAATGGGATTAACAGGTTACGTTTGATACATTTTAGTCCTACGAAATTAAAGTAGTTTTCGGTTGTTTTAATGTGATCCAGCACGGATACCTTCCAAGTGGAATCCATCTGTTTATCGGAAAGTGGCATTCCCGTGTGGGACAACTCATAGAACCCTACTCGACTCGCGTTGATGACACAACATGCCATGTACTGCGCGGGATGTTAAGGTGTCGTGCAGTCGCGCCGGGAGCACCACCTCGCAATGTTCTGTGGTGACGAAACCTCAAAGAGCGACTGCGAATTTGGCGGCTGCTCAGCGAGTTCTTGCGACTGTGTGGTGAGCAGGGAGCACACAGTCAGAATTACTCTACAGCGAATCAGACCGGGAGGTCCAAGAATTCGAGTACTGATGATGGCCAATTTTCGACACTAGCCACTTAACTAAGCCGTATGCAGCTGATGTCTGGAAAAGAATACTATCCTATAACTTTCGTTTCTCCTATTAATAACAGGCGAATGTCGGAGCACATCCTAACAAACTTGCTAAGGACAGCAGGTGATTTTTAATCATCCACCACATAGCCCATCTCTCTAATCATTTCTATTCAAACGAAAATTCAATAATTCAAGTTATTATAATCTACATCAATTAATTATTTACCAGCTTATATTCTGCAGCCAGGCAACATCTGCCCAATTATAGAATAAAACTTCTGTCTAAAATAAATAGAAGATGCAAGCAGGTGCCTCCTTCAGAACACACCTCCTCCTGACATCGTTTAAAAACAGACATCCATTAGAAGCATTTTGTAATATTTTTCAATCAATAGCTAAAATTGTAGGTGCCCTATAAAATTTCTATGTCAGTATGTAGTTAGTACTAGTATAGTTTAATGTTAAGTTAGAAAAATTATAGTTACAATGCAGCACAATGCAGATGAAAACAATGAAACTTAATTACGTATACATAAACAATAAATAAATTTTAAACTAGTAGTGCTACAACAACATATACTTTCTCATATTATTTATAAATTGGTAATTCTCGAAAATGCAGAAAAAAATTCAGAAGAAAAATCTCTATCTTCAATATTATAGTAGTAGGAAGTCACCCCAAAAAATTGCATTTTTGCAAATTTCCAAAGATCTGGAATTTCAACGAACATGAAACCAGCACAATTCTCTTTACCGTTCTTTGCGATATTCGAGGCAATGTATAATAAAAACATTTGAAGCAATTTTTTAGAAAATTTAAAAATGTTTTTGAGGTTTCATGTAAAATACCCTCAAAAATCCAAATAACCGTTTAAAACTCCCAAACTCCCTCAAGTTCATTCAGATTGATTGGAGAATATCAATTTTGGAGAGAATCGGCTGAATGGTTTAGGCGATAGCACGGACGGACGGACGGACGGATTCTTCTAACGCCACTTTATAGAGGAAGTTTTTTCTTTATTTAGCAACCAGATTGTTTGCTTCCAGGGCCAGAAAATGTTTTCTGCCGAAAAGTCGCTGTTTTCCGATGCACATCACTTTATCTTCTTAAGACGTACCTTCGTAAGAACGACAAAATAAAAGAACGCAAGCAGAGTTTTTGTGAACCTACCAAACATCTGCGTTAAACGTCAGCAACGTTGCCTACCAATATGGCATCAGTGTCAGTCACACATATGTCATTATATGAGATTTCCTATCACATGTAAAATGGTCACATTGTGTATTTTCATCTTCTATTCGTCCATGCCCTAAATTTTGGCTTGTCAAACTGCACTCCCCCGCCTAGGAAACTATGTGCTCTTGTGAGCACAGACAACTTCCCCTGACAATCCAGAAAGGACTAACGCGCAAGCTCAAGCGAGGAATGTACGCACAAAGAATGATAACGGAAGTGTAACGATGCTAACGGTTTTTACCCGCCGGTCCACGTGTCCATCTCCGTCCATTCTGTCCGTCTCCGTCCGTCTCGTCGTCCGTCTCGTCGTCCGTCTCGTCGTCCGTCTCGTCGTCCGTCTCGCCGTCCGTCTCGCCGTCCATGAACACTACTAGCACCTGAACTATATGTAAGATTTTTTCCAAATTGAAGAAACCTGTGTGGATCTTACTCATGTGAAATCGAATCTTTCTTTAAACTTTCTTTAAAATTCTGTAAACCTTACATGAAGCCCGCCCCTAGAACACATTTACAATTTTCTCAAAAGAGGCTCCATTTTTTCTTTAAATTTCTTGTAAGAATAGATAAATACATTTATAAATGTGACACAGGTTCAATTTTCAGTTTTAACTCTGAATTTTAGAAAATTTCAAAACTTCAAAATTTTACGAGTATCTTCTGACAACCATAAAATTGAAGATAGAGATTTTTCCTTCAAATAAAATTTGTTCTCCATAGTAAGTTCTTCCACTAAAGTCATGAGAACTGTTTTGAACATTTTTTGTAATTTCTTCGCAATATTGTGAGCCATATGTGCAATTTAAAAAAATTACAAAAGCAAGATTTTCTCAAAAACTGCTCCAATTTTTTTCTTTAAAATTTTCTTAGGGATAGTGCTAAATGCACTCTATAAGATGGCATAGACGCCATATTGATCTTTTCTCTTGTCTTTTCAAAGATAACAAAAAATTTTTTACCTATCTCACACATCGTTAATATTTATATTAGCGACAATTTCTTCACATTATATTTATGAGAACACATGCTTTAAAGATGTCAAAAAAAGTTTCTAGAAAACTCAATTTTTTCTGTGAAAACTAGCTCCAATTCCGCATTTTCATAAATGCTCAAACGCCAATTTGCCAAAAATAGCTTCAAATGTTTTCATTAAACTTTTCGAACAGGTAGTGCTACTTGCGCTCTTTAATATTACATAAAGTTCATATCGGGTGAAATTTCAGTCGCAACGAACTCCCGATTGTATGACAGTGCCTCCATCGGTGTGAAGAAGTTTGTAACATTAATTGTTCATTAAGAGATGCAGCGCCCCTAGCCGTTTTCTGCGTGTGTGTGCGATGTGCAGCGCTGGCGTGGGGGCTGCTGCCGATGCCGTGGGAGTACTCGCTGCTGGGCGGCGCGTTCGTCTTCAAGCCGTGGCACGCCTTCGTGCTGCTGTGCTCGACGTGTGCGCTGGTGTCGGGACTGTTGGTGCTGCCCTTCGGGGAGAGCCCCAAGTTCCTCATGTCGCGCGGCCGCCGCGAGGAGGCGCTGGCGCAGTTCCAGCGCGTCTACGCAGCCAACACCGGCAACCCGCGCGACATGTACCCGGTGCGTGCAAAGTTGGTGGCCATTTCCCTCTAAAGATACTGAAATTCAAATACAGGAAAGAGTGCTGTTTATTTCGGAATTGTTAAAGCTGCGCGACATATTGCTGCTATTATATTTTACTATTTCTTCAGTTGAACTGCAGTTTATTGAAATCGATTACTAGAAATTAATTAGGAATAACTCATAGTTGTGTTTTTCAACGAATACAACCTACTAATACCAATCCAAATTTACAATTGAAACGAGTATTGTTGAAAAAAATGTTTAAAAAATACTAAATAGTAAATTGACAGCTACAACTCGTCGGCTGGGAGTTGTGATACACACATTCAAATCTGAACAAAACGAAACTACTTTTTCTTTTTTGGTTGAAGGACGTTGTAGTGGCAATAAGGCACTACAGCTAGGGCCGCTGGTAATCTGCAAGCAGAAGCAAGGCTAGAACCATTGTGATACCTATGTGTAGCGCATAGAAGTACTTGGTTCCATCTTGAATTGTAATTGGCTCCATCTTGGCTATATTTGCAGCAAGAGAAACGACTTCTTTTAAATGTTTACTCGACAGCCATAAATATTTATGCCACTTTTAGACAAAGTTAATTCTGACAATTGTTAAGTTAAAAAATATTTTAGTGTTGTAAATCAATTTTTTGAGGAGGCCTAGCCTCCCTTGCCTTCTCTGAATATCTGTCACTGGAATTGATGCACGATATTTGGGAAAGAGGCTCTCCAAACCTTCTGGGAAAATTCAAATCCTGATTCAAAATCAGATCAACATGATTTATTAATTGTATTATCAAAGTTATAATTTTATTCTCCGTGCATTATGTTTAATTGATTTCTTAGTGAAATATTACATATGTAAATAATAATGTTTAATAGCCAAAAGGGCTTGGAAAGGCCCAAAACTGTTGTTGGGCTCTTCTCGTTTAATGCCGGAAACACACAGACGCACTTTTACGTTAATTAAACACGCTTCCGTTGCAGAGTTTACAGACACGAATTGGTTACGGAACTCCGTAGAAATACGGACACCGTAACGTCCGCTACGCGACACCCGTCTGCCCCCAGCATTAGGTTGCGCACGCCTACGGAAGTGATGAATGAATGAATGAATGAATGCATGAATGAATGAATGCATGAATGAATGAATGCATGAATGAATGAATGCATGAATGAATGAATGAATGAATGTGAACGCGATGGGGAGAGGTTTTCTAGGGCCGGTGTGCTGTTGCTATCGAGCGCAGGTGAAGGAGCTGGTGGACGAGCCGGCGCTGACGCCGGTCGCGGCGAGCGGCGGCGGCCCCGTGGCGGCGGTGCGCGCCGCGCTGGGCCAGATGGCGCCGCTGGTGCGCATGCCGCTGCTGCCCAAGGCCATCCTCGTCTTCTCCATCCAGACGGGCGGCCTCTTCGGGTGAGTCGATCCTAGAGTGCACGCGGAATCGCAACCGAAGAGGGAGTCGTTACACACCACAGAAGAAATATATATCCCTTTTCAGTTGCGAAGATCTTTCTGGGTCTCCCACCTCAAATGGATTGTTCATTTAAAGGAAGAGAAACACAAAATTAACTTAATTTTGCTACGCAAAGGTATCGATACATTAGTTACTATTTATTCTGATTTATTGTAAAAATATAATTATGTGTATACCTATGACATCTTTTGAACTTCAAGTTTTAAATCAATAATTAAAATTCCGATCAGGTTCGTACGACCTTGATCTACCAAGCACTTGCTGAGATGGCCTCTTGCTTTCCTTCTTTGCGCACGTTTCCTTGAGATATGGGGTGCTAGTGGAGAATTTACTTCAACATCAGCTCTATCGAAGAATCGGTCGGAATATCCTGGTAGTAGATTGGAGTCCTTCGAGTAAAACAAGATAATAGATAAGAACAAAAACAAAGCTCATTTGCCGATGCAAATATTTTCTATTACACGGCAGCAAATATGTCTTGATATCAAAATTCATAAGTCATCTTAGTATTGTAAAATAGCGGGAATTCTTGGTCCAAGATGATTTGCACATATTGTACTCGTATATATTCTCGTATATTACATTGCTTTTAACTTTTTTACGTTAAAGAAAAGTAAAATATAAAAATAAACCTTGATTCTTGTAGTATAATGTAGTTGTCAGTCTACTCTGCCAGAGTCTTCTTCCGTATGTGCGAAGTATGATCTTTCGACGTAGTAAATCTGTAACGGGTCTTAGGATGAACACTTTGCGGCTGTGGATGCCGCAGCTGTTCGCAACGATGGAGGAGGCGTTGGTGTCGGGGGGCGGGCGCGAGGCGCAGGCCGCGGCGTCGCTCTGTGACATGTTGACAGCCACCAACATCTCCCTCGCGGCGGAAGGAGGGCCTGCGGAAGACAGCGCCTGCACCACGGTAAGGAACCCTTAAGATAGGAGAGGTTTCTGGACAAGAATAATACCTAAATAGTTATTTACGTAACTAGTACAGAGAGCGAGTCTTCGTCGTGCGAATCATGGTGACGATACGAGCCAAGTTCGCCTTGTAGAATTCAGTACGCCGAAGATACTTTCGTACGAATTGCGTACAATATTTTTAGTACGATTTTTTAGTACAAAAACCACAAGTATATTATTTTGAAATCATTCTCAATATCCGCGAAGGTAGCCATGTTGATTCATGAGGCCCTAGTGTTTTTGATGCATGCTTCTTTTGCGATGCGCGTACGGTGAAGACTATTTTGCCGTACGCGCACAGCAACGCAACATTTTCCGATCAATAAGCAGTGAAAATTGTTAGGTGTGTCAAGCGTCAAGCCATGTCAGCACACCGAACCGAAACATGTCAAACGATTTATTGTAAATTAATTGCCACAATTTGAAATTAGTTGCCACTTATCTTCGTGGCGAAAACGGGTGTGAGCTGGGCGCCAACACGCATAAGTTAAATTTGCTTCGTAGCTTGACCGAAACTCTCATATAATTTATTGCTAATTAAGTGACACGTGTATTCGTGGCGACAACGGGTGTGCTGGGCGCCAGCACACACACGTTCAATTCGGGTCATAGCTTGACGAAAACCCTCAAATAAATAATTTCCAATTATATGCCACACTTTTGGCAAAACTGCCACTATCTTCGTGAGCTGAACGCCAGCACACAGTTTACAATTCGGTTGTAGCTCGACGGAAACCTCAAATGATTTATTGCTAATTATTGTCAATTAGTTGTCACAGATTGAAATTAATTACCAATATATCATTTGAGGGATTACGTCGAGCTACGTGAATTTAACTTACGTGTTTGTTGGCGCCCAGTTGAAAACCGTTTTCACCACGAGGATACATGGTAATTAATTCCAAATTGTGGCAATTAATTAGCAATAAATCATTTGAAATGTTGCATTCCAGTGTGCTGTCGAATCTGTTCCAGCTTGACGCACTTAACGTTTCCATGCTAAGAGATCCTTGTCATTGGCACAGGTATATTACAAATAAAAATTATACGCGTAAAATAGTGCGTTTGTAAAGCTTGTGTCACACAAGTGTTGCGTTCGATAAGAAACGCTCATTGCAGCATTGCATTAGCAGCACTGTATCTTATGTGGATCGGCCAAAAGTGCTTTGTGCCGTTTCCCGTACGCTACATTGTTATTCTACGACGCGCGTTACTTAACCCGATTTACAGACTTCCATTTACCGAGCGATTTCGGAGTTTCAGCGACGAAAGCAGCTTCTGGAGCAACAGCGGTTCTGCACATGCACACATTGGCTAAAATTTGAAATGAGCGTGTAAAATGGATCTAAAGAAACAACATTCGTGCAGAGTGGATTAACTGTAACTTCATTATCTATTTGTATGCTCTCATTAAACAAAACAGGGAATGTTATTGAAATTACAATTTATTTCTTTTAATGATACTAACATAATATACCTTACGGAGAATCTTCAAAAATAATTTTTGATGTTTTATTTGAAAGAAAAGTAATTACAAAATTGCTGCGATAAATAAAAAATCGTTCTTTGCAGTTCGTGGTTGAAGATCGCATTTATATAAACTCGATTATAGTCGGGTGTACATCAGCAATGTGCTATTTCTGTGCTGGACACATAGTTAACTGGTTGGGCAAGAGGAAGCTAATGAGTAAGTATAAAAAACACAGGATTCAAATAAAAAAGTACCATTCGAAAATGTAAATCTTAAATTGATATTTTACAGTCTGCAGCTATTTTGTAGCTGCGGTAGCTGGATTTGCAGTGTTCTGGGCTCGCTCTCCAGATCTTGTTCTGGCGCTCCTGGCCGTATACTTGGGATTCTGTGGTATAAGTTCAACCGCCATACTGGGTGTTGTGGTGGATGTGTTTCCCACAGCCCTGCGGACGACAATGGTTGCTCTGTGTATGATGTTCGGGCGGATGGGTTCCATGGCCGGCAATGTGGTGTTTCCTATCATTCTTGACCTCAGTTGTCCAGCACCCTTTTTCATGCTTCCAGCAGCTATCTTCAGTAAGTGACAACTTAATTTTTCTTGTGTCTAAGTAATATTTCACTGTTTATTAAAGTCGACTTTTCTCCGTGGAATTTGTCGATAGCCGTAAGAAAGTTGAATTTCATGAGAGACAAGATGTTCGGGAGTGGAGTAGGGAAAAATATAAAATATGAAACTTTTGTTTGGTTACTCTATGCAACTGAACACTATCATGCAACAACATCTGCATGCAACTGCATACAACTGGACAACTGGTGGATGCGAAAGGAGAAATTACTAATTTTGAGTGTGTTTATTCTTATGAAAATGTTTAGAGAGACATAATTGTGACACTTAAGAAGGAAGGGTCCGTGGCTTATTTAAAACATTGTTCTGGCAGTCAGTTGCGAACGAAGAAATCACGGACAACTACCGATCGGAACATCTTTATATATAGACACTGCGTGGTCTTCTTCACCTCGCTATGCCTTGTCCTACCAGGAGGCAACTCCGGTGTGGGCATCTGCGCCGTAAGGCTAGATTCGCACCCCCTCCGCTGACACACTAGTCCACTGGTTGGAATCGGGATCCCACCGGAACGCAGTTTGCCCTCAGAGCAACCTCCCCATTCAGTGCCCGAGTTGGGCCGCCCTGCTCAGAGCTAATAGCTATCTAAGCTAGTCCAAATGATGGGCTGCTCACATGCGCCGGGAACAAGTCTCTTCTCTTTGCTCAGAGTATCGGGCCCCTGTTCAGAGTATCGAAGCAAAACAGGGTGCCACCCAAACTAAGGTCCGGGCGGCTCGTGGCCCCTTTCCCGTGTCCTCACTGCCCCCACCTTACACTATCGACGTGAGTGCCGCTGGAACGTAGGCAACGTGACGGGGAGGTTCTTTTTCCCCGTCTGGACGTTTTCTATGTGGGATCCGGAGCATTCCGAGGAACGTCCTTCGCCCAGTTCTGCCCTACGCGCCAAGGTCGACGCGCCAGGGGCCCGACTAGTGAGTTACCGGGCAAGACGCAACAATACGGAGCTTAGCATCGCCTTCTCACTGCCTCCACACAGTAGCTAACGACGTGAGTTCCGCCGTGAAACTCAGGTTTCTGCAACTCCCCGCCAGAGATCATGGCAGCCTTCGCGGCCAAGAAGCGGGGTAGAGCCGATGGAATTTTCCTTCAGACAATGGCTGAATCCGACCTAGCTTTGTAGCCACACAGTGTTGAATATTCACCATTGCCGGGACTCGAAATTACGTGCTTCCGACAGCGACGCTGCGGAGGCAACGGACGTCATTGACATGATAGATATTAAATAGAAAATAAAGATAAACACAGAGATAACTAATAAATGGTTAATCCCAGCGGTTATTAAACTGAAAATAGATAAATTCGCAATACAAATTTTAATAAATTAGTATCTACATAAAAAATGTATTTGACATATTTTCATTTTGGGTTCTTTTACATTTGTAACAACAGTTTGGGTATTGAGAAGGATAGAACATTTCAAATTTTGATCAGAGATAACTTCTCTTGTTTGATTTTACTCTCCCCAGAGAATAAAACAGTTGTTTACACGAACGTGAGCCCATATACATATATGAGGTTTTCAGCAGATTTGAACAAACTGAAATGCATGTTTACGAAATTTCTAGAAACTCACAATGAAATTGATATTCAAAAAACCTATTTAAGCTATTACTCCGGAGGTTAATTAATACTAACCAGAAATATCTAGGTACCTATGTATATCTGTACAGAATGAACGTTCAGAAGTACTGAAAGAACTGATTGACCAAAATCCATTCCAAAAATATTCAAATCTTGCATACGAGACCTACTTTCCGATTTTAATGACATCAGCTTCGGAAAGAACGAGCAATCTCACAAAACGAATCGACTCTCTCGAAGCAACTTGCGTCTTCGCCAGCAGTCGCGTTGGCTTGATGCCTCCACTGCCCGCCGCTTAGCCCCCCATTGCCTTTGCGTTGGGGGTTGCCTTTCACGTGCTTTACGCAGAAATTTTCAACAGGGATGTAATCAGAAAATTTAATTAATTGGGTTAATTTTTAGTTTTTCTTCTACTTCGGAAAGAACACATAAGAAAGGATGGGTTATATTTTTATAAAATTTATTAGTACAACGTTACACATTAATAATAATAATAATAATAATAATAATAATAATAATAATAATAATAATAATAATAAAAAATTCATCTAATTTTGGAATCGCTCTTAAAGAGGAACTCAACTCTTCTTCGTGTCTCACATCTTCTTTACATGCATGACCTGAAGCTCTATGCAGACACTGAGAAGTCATAGCGGCAAACTAATAAAACGTGACGGGAAGTTTCATTGACGACATGAAGGATGAAAGGTTCGGTTGGATAATCAGGAGAGGTGAATAGGTCATCGGGTCAATATGGCAAAGTTATTAAATTTGACAAACTGATATGAACGAAGATTATACATCATGGAACGTGGCCATGAAACCTACAATACTTGAGGTTCAACAATCACTCCACATTCAGGAAACAGCACTGATTTACTAAGAACATACCAAACAACTGAAGTTGTTAAACGATGATGGACTCTTAAAAAACTCAACGTGTCGTGATTAGAAACCGTGTGCAGGCCAATCAATTCTCATTTATTACCAGTGCTGACGATATCCTTTTGGCTTATTAATGGAGCAATACCGACCTCGCAACCTCCAGACGACCAATTCGAACCGATATGACTCACAACCGAAAACATCATCCCATTCAAGTTACTCGAACGATTTACCCTTCAAGTCGCGAGGAGACGAGGTATTGTAGATCTCATAAATCTACACAGCTCTCAAATGCTGCACTCAGTAAAGATACTTCTCTGAACATTGTGGAGAGTTCAGCAAGCAGTAGCGCAGTGATAACTAAGTCCTCTGAACTTGAAAAAGCTTAATCCGCCTGTTCAACCAAGCATTGAACGGAAGAGAGATAACTTATGATAAAAGCGAAGGCACTCATGAAGGTGGCCCTCACGAGCTGAGTAAACCAGAAGTCGACATCTCTGCGTCGCACCGCAGGCTCCAGCACGGGATCTCTTTTCCGGAGCAGAAGCCTTCATGATAGCTATCCAGGACCAATGGGTAACCAACGGTTGAACTACAGAAAACACACTTCTGAGAGATTCTACCATTCAATTCCGACTCGTGTAGAAGATGTGAGCTGCAAGCGAACTATCCAACACTGAACAATGTATGTTAGCAGCCAGCAACAGTGGAATACCAAAATAGCATGAGAACTGGCGAAGAGTCCACCCAAATTATTGGCATGCTTACTCGCCACTTCCCGCTGCGCTATTAATAAATATGTGCATCAGAATGTGCTTGAAAGTGTGAGCACACACTTACCTGGGATGCCTTCATTATCCACTGACAGACATTCGCAGGCAATAGACCCGATATAACGTACACTGATAGAAACCATCAGCAGGTTTTCCTTATCGATATATCAATACCCAATACCCACAAAATATAGGGAAAATATCAAGAGAAGATCCAGAAGTATACCGATCTCGCCCGTGAAGTCGCAACTCAGTGGAACTTTAGTAAAGTGACAACTGTGCCTATAATAATATCAGCTACAGAAGTGACACTTCGGGCACTGGAGTGTCATCACTTGGATGCCAGGAATGTATATAATATGTAATAGTCTGTAATTTTGAATACATGCCGTATTGTCAGAAGCCATCTGAACCTTCAGTAAAGCAACCACACGTCATCATTCCTATGTGTGGTTGACATACCAACCAGTAGATACTGTGAATAATGTGAGATAACAACAACATCAACAACAACAACAACAACAACAATAATAATAATAATAATAATAATAATAATAATAATAATAATAATATTTATTGACATATACAATTACAATCGTGTATGACTGGTCAATATGATGTCTTGGGTGGAGAGAGCGAAGTTACATTACTGTTCAGGAGCAAACAAGGAGCCATCTCAGTATTTGCTCAAGGGATCTTTAAAACTGAACAAAACCTGATCGAGATGGGGTGCGTTATTGAAATATATCTAAGCAGACATATTTGTAATATACAATACATAGGTGTAAATGAATATGATTTATGAAACAAACATGAATCATATTAATATTATTTATAATACAGAAACTTGTATTTACTAATTGGGTGTTGTATTAGTAGTACGATACATGTCACAATACATAATTTAAACGTTTAATTTTTTCCCAAATAGTCTTCTAAATTATTTTTATTTTTCAAATGTATATGAAACAATTATATATACTGTTATATCTACATAAAAACTTTTAAGATAAAATAGACTTTTACATATGACCGTAACACTCCTTTGCATTGACATTTCTAAATCCTCTTTTCTTAATCATTTGATCTCATCTCTGCAGCCGGATAGTTAGCAACTAGGATACAAAAATTTGCTGCTTTCTTGACTGGCTGCTTTAAAACTATTCCCTTGAAATAATGCAGTGAACGAAAGAAAACTGGCAGCATCAACTGTCCTTTCTTTACTGTTTGTGACATTATCCTCTTTGATTGCAGTGTGTTCAGTGGCGAGTTTCCTTCTTCCTGTTACCAAAGGGAAACATCTTGAGTAAACTTCACCATTCTCCATTTATGCTAGTAGTAATTTATTCTGGTAATTTATACTGTGGAATTCAATAAGATGGTACAGTACAACTAAAGTAGGTAAGTTTCTTGTTGTATGTAAAATGGAAAGTCTACTTTAAGTGGAATTGTCAAGTTGTATTAAACACTAAAGAAGGAAAATTCAGAACTTGTTCAGTGAAAATATACATATAACAGGATGATTTAGAGAATTTGCACAACATTGAACATTATGATGGACTTTGTATTAATAGTTATTTTTAACTATGAATCAGTTTCAAGTTCATATTGATCATCTTTTAAATTTGTATATTATAATGTTGTTTTATTATTCTTTTTAAACAGCTTGCAAGCCTGAATCAATGATTGAAAAACACATTAAAATGTAAATAGAAGAATCATTTGTTTCATTATGAAATTGTCATTCCTGACAACTTCAATGTCTCCCCTGCTTTTATCACAAATCAAGATTTATTGTGATTTTATTTTCTCTTTTTCTAAAATGTAAACAATTTATTTATTTTTTAATAAAATCTTGAAACAAGGTTTATTGACACATGAACTTTTTCTTATGCTTCATAATGTACTGTGATGCAACAGCGGTCTCAATGAATTTTTATTTAGGAAACCTGAAAGGCGCAGGAATCTTGCTTGGGAGAAACATTGGTAGATGATCATATGTGAACCAAAGAACAACACAATATGGTTGTGAGATTCTGGTAAAAGTGGGATTTATTCAACCCTTAACACAAAACACACAAAAAAACACTCAAATCTACCAGTAAAATGGTTTCAAAGATCTTTGAAAACCTTTTGAGTAAACAATTGTTAGGATTTGTAAATGGGATCCCTTGTAAACATTATCAATAACTCCTCTTACTATAAATTTACTCTAGAAACATTACATTTACATTACTCAATTTCATCCTCATTCAATTTACATTTTCTTAGCCTTCCTTCCTCCTGAAATTCAATAAATCATTCTCCATCCAACTTACCTTACTTATCTTATTTAGCAAAAAAACCCTCCTTGGTTTGAAACAATTAAGTCATTAATATTATACATCACATGTTATTAACTTTGATACTCAATTCTACTCTCTTGGTTTGTGACATTTATGTTTGGAAACTATATCCAATTGATCTGATACTGATCATCTGAATGATGCTTCATTTAGCACTGAATACCTGTTCATTGCTAAATAAGTTGAAAACAAACTTATGTCAGTAGCCTTTGGTTTATTTATATGTGAAATTATATTTATGATGCAACAAGTCAAAAAAAGTATGGCCTTTATATGCAAATTAAGAAAGTTTGAACTGCCATATTTACAAACTTCTTCCGAGTTTAGTGAATGAAATCTCCAATCATCAACTACCCCCCCCCCCCCGCAACCTAATAGGCAGTCTAGTTTGAAACACGTTTTATATTAATATTTAAATAAAACATTGCGTATTAAATCTGAACAATATCTCTAAAATATAAAATTAGGAAATATTACTTGAACTGACATTTAGTTTGGATAGTGTTAAGGTATATTATACTGCCAAAATAATGAGAAATATTAGAAAATTAATTTGTTTTTAACAGTCATAACCACTGATAACATTCATACCTACTCTTTAATATGGCAAAACCCTATTTTTTCTACAATCTTTTGTATTGTTTATATTTAATTTTTTTGAAGTGTTGTATTTAAGTGTGAGCCCCATTTTCAAACTGAAAGTGGCGAAAATGAAGGGATATAAAAGAAATAAAACTAAACCAAAAAAAGACACACCAAAATATAAGAATAGAAGAAGATATTTCAAAGGAAAAAGAAAAATAATAGGATAGTCATAGTAAAACAACATACATTACTACGGAGCTTTTTAGTGTATGAAAAACTTCAAAATATTTTTCTGAAAGTTGGCTTTTTTCTTGTCAACTGCAGGTTGATACATTATGTCTCCAATTCTGTATAATATAGCATAGAGATTCTTTCATTCTAGATACATAGGGTTAGAGCATGAATCAAAACTAAACATTTGAACACATCTCATTTTACAAACTTGATTTTCAACCATTTCAGAATATATTTTTTTTTACTTTCTGAAAGAAAATGTGAAAAATATAAACATGCAAAAAATATCAATGGTTTTGGTTCAAGCACTAGATCTAATCATCTATGTTCATGAAAAAATAAACTTGAAGCAATATAGGTATTAGTAGTAAAGATATGTCACAACTCAGAGCCTTTTTTCCTATTTAAAATTCAGTTATCCGTCAAACAATTTTTTTTTAAAATATCTTAATAATTTCAAGTTGATTACTCGCATATTAATCCGGTAAGCATAAAAAATGCTACAAAACAATATTTTTAAAATTTACAAGTTTCGAGTAGCCAGTAATTCAATAAATCACAAATCTTCGAAGTCTTTGGAGATCAAATTCTGTAATTTGATACTTCTATTTTTCGCACAGTATTTCACAATAATATAACAAAATATTTGTTGCTCTTTCCCTAATTCATCCAGAATAGTGAAATTCAGGTAAAACACTTCTAAGACCATTTTAAATTAGAGGGTATGGTCATAACCACGGTGTTGCATTTTAATTCAAATTTCCTCATTTGTCATTTTCCTAGTAAAACACACTGCAAGAAGACCAAAGACCATGCTAGATCAAATACATATTTTTAAATAGGAATCAAGTAAATTCTTTTGTTGTGATAGATGAAGTTTTTTTAAGCTTGTACACCAATTTGAGAATGTTAGTTAAAAGAAATAGCTGAAATTGATTCTTGTGACTGTGGCACTTTCAAGTCTCTAATTACTGACCTCATTCATTATAGACAAAATGAGGAAACACAATGCCTTTAATATTTTTATTAATTTACTTATTATGTGACATGTACAGCTGTAGTCAGTGTGGTAAATGGAATGCTGTGGTCACTAGTATCCATGTAGACTATCAAAGAGTTATTTATGCATTCACATTCACATGTTAGAAAGAATTCATTAAGGTTAAACTGAAAGAGGAAACTGATTTACATTAACTAACATTTAAAAAATACCAACTTTAACACAAAAGAGGTTAAATGTTGTGTGGTAATTTGTTGTTCTTTTGCATTACCCTTCCCATAATACCTTGTGATGAAATTCCTTTTCAATCGTAGTAAGTAGTGAAGAGTTACTATTCATTAAGTAATAGTTTATTAAGCTATCATGTCAACTTACAAATAATACCAAACTAAGAAGTGTTACAGATAAACATTTTGTAGGAAAAAATTTTAAAAACCTTGATAAATTCTTTCTCCTTTTATCGCAATTTTCCAAAATCATGAGAGTTCATCAAAAGTGAGAGGTGCATAATTTTTATAATCATACTTGGTTCTATTCGGAACAAAATGCAAAGAAAAAAATTTGAGGCCTTTTTCAGAATTTTTTTAAATTTCCTATATTTCACACAAAATTATGTGTAAACTACTTACATTTTGGAAAAATTGTGCATGACTTTGTTCAAAGCCCAGCCTGAAGAGACTTCATTAAGGACCAAAATCTTTCTTCACTACTGAAGTTTTAGAAAACTCTTAATAAAATTCAAACGTTGGCAACTTTCAAACGTTCAGACTTCAATGAAAGTGGGACTTGTGTATTTTTTATAATCATACTTGGTTCTACCCAAGACAAAATGCAAAGAAAAAATGTTGAGAACGTTTTGAGAATTTTTAAAAAATTTCCTGCATTTCAGGCGCTAGTGTTTACGATGCAACAGACCGACAAGTAGACAGACGACACGTTTTGCAGCTAATCGATTTTTCGTAATCAAGGACCCACAAAATATGGAAGATGACTACACAACATGTCAGAGATACTTTTTATTATTATTATTATTATTATTATTATTATTATTATTATTATTGTTATTGTTATTATTGTTATTATTGTTATTATTGTTATTATTGTTATTATTGTTATTATTGTTATTATTGTTATTATTATTATTATTATTATTATTATTATTATTAAATATTTCTATATTTAGGAACAAGATTTATCCAGTTTTACTTTTTTATATACGTATTGTAGAGGAAGTTATGCAATGTTATAGGAAATTGATTTCGGATCCCCTCCTATTGAAAAAGTGTTTTTTTTTGTTTTTTTTTCTCCAAACGTCCCGTCGATTGTCGGTTCATGAACTTTAGGACCTAAACTATTCGTCGAATTTTCTCCAACATGAATATTGCCGGGATGATCTGGCCCGACTGGAAGATGCGATTTTGAAAAACATTTTAAATTTTGGGAGTTTTTTTTCATGAAACTCCTGGGACATTTTCAAAATTATCTCAAAAATAGTTCCATTTTTTTTTCTTGCGCTTAGGAAGGAACTTCTTAAAAAGAGAAAGTTACGTAACGCTACGCGAAAATGGGCGAATTTTCGGCTGAAAAATCTTAATACAGGGCGCTGAAAACGAAAAAGTGCAAACCTTCAGTTGCTTAATTTAGAAACAAACAATTTGTAAAACGTGGTGTAGCCAGGATTCCTGTTTTGTGGGTCCTTGATACCGAAAAATCGAAAAAGTTTGCCCGACCGTCTGGTTGTGAACAACGCCAGTGGCTAAACCGTTCAGCCGATTTTCTCCAAAATTGGTATTCCGTGATCGATCTGGGTGATGTCGCGGCCCCTTGAATTTGAAACCGATATTTTTAATTTTGAGATGTACTTTATTTAAGTTTTTGGGACGTCTTCAAAATTTTTAAAAAAAATGGCGCCATCGATTTTGATTAAATTTTGTTGTTGGACAGTGAAACATTTAAAAGAACGGCACATGTCTCATGATGGTTAGAATTGGAAATAATTAATTTTTTGGCCTCTTCCTGCAACTAAAATATTAAAGACGTTTTCCCTTAATAAAATCTGTTCCTTAATGGCAGATTTTGAAATAAGTATTTTAAATAAGTAAAAATGAGTATTTTTCGCGTAATTTTGCGTGAAATGTAGGCAATTTTTAATTTTTGTTTACATATTTTTTTTTCTAAAATACGGCTTCATCCTTTTTGATGGAATTTTGTTGGTGTATAGTCTGAAGGACGTTTATGAAAATGGTGCAGGTCTCATGTTGGTTGAAAATCCTGATTTTTCGACAACTGAAAAAAATCAAAATGTTTTCGGCGTTATCCTACAACTACAATTATATTGATACATTTTTTTTAGTGAAATGTGTTAATCAAAAACAGATTTTCCAATAAGGTCAAGTTGATTTTTTCGAAAATTTGTGTTTTTGGTGTAATTGGGCGACAAAATTAGTCGCCCGCTCTAAAAATTCTGCGCTTCTTAATCTTTGGGGCAGTTGGATGCTACGTAATCTTGAATTTGTATATTATTTAATAATTCATTTAATTATTAAATTTATGTTATTTAAATTAAAATTGAGTCCTTGAATTGTGTTAAATGTGAAAACGAATAGTTGTGCGGTCTTTGTTGTAACCCATTGTTGTAACGCCGCACAGATAACAGAAGGCAATAATGAAGGCTGCTTTTCGTTCGCGGTAATAAAAACGAATATTTTTGTATATTTGTAGAATTTTACAATATTATATTATTTAAACTTTTACAAATTATTTTACTTTCTGCTTTTTTACTTACATACTGCTTATTTTTTACGCTCAATGTTATACAATTTCAAATGAGTTTTGCAAAAAATAATTCGGAGAGAAATTTTGGTATAAATAGTATCACATAACCAATTACTAATGGCGAATAAGTACGTGCTATTTTTTAGCACCACTAGTTTCTTTAATTTTTTGTAAAAATACAGGAAATACACTAATAAAGGTCCGGTTGTCACCAATAACTCATTTTCGAAAATTGCCAAAGTATGGATTTTTTCGGCATCTATCTACAATTACAATATGGTGATTTTTTTCTTCAATTGAAATTTATTACAACCAGTCCTGTAATTATTGTAATTACTTTTTTCAATAATATAAACAGTTTTCCCGTAATTTTGGATGAAATATGAACAATATTTAAAAAAGAAATATTATTACGATTTACTTAGAAACCATCTCAATTTTTTTTCTTTAAACTTACTTTAGGGATAGTGCTAATGCACTGTGTAAGATGGCATAAACGCCATCTGATTTCAATATTCTTTTGTTTTTACAAAAATTACACAAATGTAATTTTTGTCTTCTCTCTCTCGTCGTTAAAGTTTACATTACCTGCGATTTGTATAATTATTATACTTACAATATTATGTACTAGGACTTTAAATTTTGTCTTATGAAGTTTCTCGAAAACTCTAGTTTCCTGTGAAAATTAGCTCCATTTGCGCAAGTCGTAAATATTTATATTACCGGTAATTTGTATACATTAAATTGCATGAGTACGCAAATCGTCAATGTATTTTGTGAACGGCCCGTGCCATTTATCATTGAACATTATTGAATTTAATTGCAATAACAATTGAACGGTAGCAATAACATGCAAATCTATGAAAGCATGTATTGTTTTGTTGAATATGTCGACCGAAATTAATGATCTTTGTTCGTTTACATACGAAACGCACATAAAAATAATCATTGGAGTTGAGGGTCACTCGATTACAAGAAATTGCTGTATCGTGTGATTCAATGGACTAGTTACCAGTATTCTTGTGTGTGTAAATATGTAACACAACCCCATACCAGAGCGTACACTTGAGTACCATCCATACTCTGTAAACGACGCTCCCGGTAGCACACGCTTCGGTCGAAATTGGTGGGGCATGTTGTTCTTGTAACAATGTGATACAATCGAAGAGTCCAATGGTCTATTTACTAAGTGATAGCAGCGAGATTTACGAAAGCTCGTGAAAATCCAACTCTTTATTTACAGAGAACCCGTTACGTTGCTGTTGCTCAAACACGAGTTCATTTACCCTGGCATTCACGCAAAACAGTGAACTAAGAGAAGCATTTTTTGAGACTTGACCACATGCGGTCAATGGCGGAATCACTTAAATTTCCAATTCATTCTTCATAACCAACACCTACTAATGATCTTCAATGTAAGTAGAAAACAACTTCACACAAAGATCGTTAATGAAAGTGAAGTATATTTTCTAAAAGACACGGAAAAGTGCACAAGACGAAGACCAAAAAAATATTTTAAAATCGACAAATTATAGAATTTTGGGACGTGACGAGAGAAAATAACGATTGGACAAAGGGTACCTAAGAGTGAAATGAAACCCTCTTGATCCTTTTATGATATTTCAAAACAGAAAGACCTTTGAATTCATTTACATGTATCATATCAGCGGATGTCATCAAGTCATTTAAGCGTGCGCAACACGGTATCCACTCTTCTCTTTAACGATCGTAATGGCCTGAGAATACAAAATTTGCCTGACAATTTCGTATAGAATGCGTGTGCTCCTGTTGCGAGGGGTTATGGTGCGAATTTAGCCTGAGAACGGAAGATTCCGAACTCATCCCGCAAAGTACTAATAATAGCCAGCTTGCCTTGCCCCTGGCGAGTTAGTTCAACAGGATACGGTGCCGCCAGTGTCAGCTGACTCGCTCCTGGCATCGCTGATCGTCACTGCGACGAGGCAGCGCCGTTCGGAAATTGAAATTACGACTCATCGTGAAGCAGCGGAGAAGGCAGGTGTCACTGAGGACCTTCCATTTGCGAAGGCAAAGCTATAACGTGAGTATTGATAGTTTGCGAAGGTAACAAAGAAAAAAGTACGAACAATATTTCTAGTAAAACATAGCACACGGGCATAGAAAGCATTTAAATTGTGTATAATTTTCACGTACCTAATTAATCAAATGAGTCATAATTCACGGTCTTGCTATTACCATGGAAAAAAATAATTAAAAGAAAATTGGTTGATCCAATAGCGTTTTCTTTTACAACTATCTGAAAATCAGCGCGTTGGAATTTCCTGAAAATTTGCGAGAAATACTTTTAATTTGTGCAGAAACGCATGCATTTTTAATCAGTTCGATTGTAAGAGGGAGGGGAAAAAACAAAACAATTCTTTTATATGAGTTTTCTTAAGCATGGAAAACTCGTTTCGTCGTAAACAGCACTCAAACTAGGGAATTTGCGATATGTACATGGTCTTTATGGGACAAGATTCTTCCTTGGTGTCACCCGTCTGTGTTGCCCGCCGTGTTTGATTCACATCGCATGAGTTGCACTTTGTACTGGCGTCACTACTCCTTTGTTTGAAATGTTTGAGTTGCGTTTGCACTGATATTAATAACAAACAAAACGTGTTAATTGATAAGTAATAAAAAAAACTATAATAAAAAATTGCAGAAAATCAAAATGTGTCAAAACATTTCGACGGATCTCCTTCACATAAATTCTATCAAAATACATTCGACAAGTATAGCACTTCAGAACATGTCACAAATGTCATGTTTGTAAGATGATTCACTACTGATCACCAAGTGCTAGCCCCAAGCCCCATGGTAGTCAGTATCAGTGTACAAGAGGAACTGGCAAGATGTGGTATTGGCATTGTCCTGAGTTGAAGGATGCTTGGGAAAAAGCAAAGTCCATTTCCGGGCATTTCACCGGAATTTAATTCTAACTTTTAAAGCATTTTATAATGCAGTGTAAATTTTTTTTCTCTTGCAATTGTTTTGGTAATGTTGGGTTTTCATATTTTTATGTGCTATAACTGCTTAATCAGCACAATAGATTAATGACAAAGTCAAAAATAATGAAACGTGGACTTTGCTTATTTTTCCTTTTGTAATGTACCCTACTGTAATATTCACTGTACAACATTAATGTAGACTAACAAACTTCTTTTCACAGGATGATGCAGCTTTCAGTAATTGTACCTGTGATATTACTTTTTGCCAGTCCGCTGTATGGCAAAAAGTATGACACGTATAATCAATATTACGATCCCCGCCAGAATTACTACGACATGGCAGAAAAGTGAGTTCCTTGACTATCTCTGGTTAGCTCATCCTTAATTGACAGTTAAAACATACTGTTATTTTTCAGGTATCGTCGATATGATCATTACCAACCACCAACATCTCCATTCCATCAGAAAATGCATACATTCATTGCTGACTTTGGCCCGACACCACCACCCCATGATCAAGTAGCCAAAATGGCAAGATACATTGTCCACAATGCAGGTTTGCATTATTTATTAAGTTATTACCTTTTTCTAATAAGTCACTTGTATGAAGCATTTTAAAGATTCACCATGCCTGTTACTTAACTTGCACAACATGCAATCAAATTATTTTTACCCGATCATGAAATCTTGAGTTCAACCCAAGTTGTTTTTAGAAACCAGTTAGAGAATTGGCATGTTACCAGCAATTGGGATTTCAGCCAAAAACATTATGATCTTGGTACAAGTTTTTAAATATTGTCCATAAGCAAATTAAACTTACCAAGCCCGCTTTTGTTGAGCTATTTATTTCTAAATCACACTTCTTATTAGTGAAATACCTGAAATCTTCGGGTTTGGATGTACTACATTATTTATTATTTTCTTTTTAACTAGATCTCTGAAAAGTGAAAATTTATCTTTGGATTTTTTGTGTCTTACAAGCAATATTGGGTATTTTGTAGGAGTGTAAAAGAAAATTAGTTTATTTCCTGCTTAGCAAAAGATAACAAGTGGACAAATTTTACAGAATCAACATCCACTTAATTTATTTTGAAATGTGTTTTTTGGACTTTAAGTCAACTTACATTCTAATAATAAAAACTCAAAATTTAATGAAATATATTTTAGATTGGGGTGCCATATCTACACATTCTTCTTCCCCTGCCATTCGAGGATTCCCGTTTGCAAACATTGTTTCTATCAGTGATGGAACATCCACCAACAGTTCTGGTGTACCTTATATGTACATCACACCACTGGAACTTTCCACTCGTGACCTAGAAGTGAGTAAAAAATTAACTTATTAAATTATTTTTAGAATGAGAAGGAAGAAAAAAAAATGCACCCAGTTTCACTTTTCAAAAATTAATAAATGTTTATAGGTTTTGTAAAAGTGAAAGGCTCTTTTAGACTGAAAATAATACAAACATTTTTCAAAGAATAATTTTTTTATTGCAGATTGATTCAAGATGTTCACTTGCCCTATCATTAGCTGAAACAGATTACTGCAAGCAGCAAAATATTGATCCAGAAGATCCAAGATGTGCAAGAGTTATTCTTACTGGAAAAGTGAAAAGGGTATAGCACTTAAAACTTTATTCAACATTTTCTGATTATTTTATTGTTTATATATTCTCAAATTATTTGAAAACAGAATTTTTTCAGATCGGAAGAGTAATTGTAATACCTTATATTAATTCTGTAAAATAATTAACCTTTTTATCCCACAGGTGAAAACCCATACCTCAGAAATTGACTATGCAGAGAACGCCCTGTTTTCCCGTCATCCTGCTATGCGTTCATGGCCAAGGAGTGAGTATTTGAAGCTAGGAATTATCACATATGCATCCAAGTTTCCATATAATATGGAATGTTAAGAATAAAGATCAAATTACTCTATCATTGAACACTAGAGTTAAGGTGTGCATATTGAGGATGCAATTATCAGATTATATCATTAAGGGACAGACACACAGATTTCTCTCATGAAATCTAAACCTAACTTATGTTTAGAATTTCAGCTGAAGTGCTGAAATAATAAAATAAAATCTAACCAGTTTTGTAAAATGAATATTAAATGTTGCAGGTCATGGTTTTTATTTTGCAAAACTTAAGATAGAGCAAATTTTGGTGCTGGACTACTATGGAGGCCCTAAAATCGTGCCAAAACCAGAGTACTTTAACCCTGGTGATGTTCGCTTCAGAATTTAGACAAGATCAATTGTTAGTTATTAGTTGCTGAAAAGAAATTAATAAAAACAATGATTTACTGCACTTGATGCAATGAATACAAGGTGATATTTGTTTATCTTTCACAAGACAGGTGTGGAATATTATGCTACTAATATCCTGTTAGTACTGGTGATAAAGGTATCCTTGTTTGCCAGGTGATTAAAAGTAGTTTTGCCACATGACTGATAAGTTATGTGCATACTATATTTGTGATGTATTATCCCAGAAGAATTAAATTGAAGATTCAACAAAATGCTCAAGAACTGAAATGCAGTTGTAAAATTAAATAAATAAAGAGGATAGTTTTCCTTTATCGTGTTTTTAATTATTTTTCTCATTCCTAGGCATACATATAATGTACATTTTTTTTACTCTTGTAATATGGAAACAAATAATACAAATCAACAAAAAACAAAATATCCGTTAATCACAAAATTAATAAAGTCATCCTAAAACAAATATGCACTGGAATTTAGAAATGTTATGTAGTACTATTTAGTAACTTCAGTTGAAGTACTACTGTATTAGGAGATGTAGGATCTGCCACAAGCAGTTGATCACCATCAGACAGTCCCAATTCTTGTAGAGTTCTTCGAAGATTTCCTCTAGTTTGTTGTTCAATACTTGCAACAGTACTCATATATAACGTACGAGAATGACCTCCGGTCTGTGTAGTGATACCTGGACTGCGCATTCGAAACTGAGCACTCTCGCACAAATGGGCAATAAGTTCTTCCAATTTACAATCCGCTTTGAATTCAATTTTTTGAGGGACTTGACTGCAGGCTAAACAATCCTCCTTCCTTTCAGCCTCATAAGCATATGTGTACACACCTTCCAAATCATTGAAGACCATATAATTATTAAGGGGCAGGCAACAACTTGTAGCGAGCTTGAAAGCTTCAGTAGCACATGCTGCTGCAACAACAGCATTTGTTGAAGCAACTGCAGGTATTATATTCTTCACTACTCCTTGTACCAAGCGGTAAGTTACCCCGGGAATTGAGAACTGAGCAGCTCTCTCGGATGATTTTTCGTAAATCCAGCTTATATGTTGAGGGTCATCTCCATCTATGGGGACACTCCAGGGATTTTCTTTAGGCCATTGAATAACTTTTACATACTCAATGCAATGCTCAGGTAAGCGAGGAGTATTTGCAATAGTGCAAAGCGGATAAGTAATTTGGGGAGGAAAAAGATCCAAAGTGCAATCAATACAAGCAGTCATGCCTGGCAGGATGACACGTACATTCCCCTTGAAACCTTCTGTTCCTCCATCAATGATTGGTATTATTGAACATGTGTCCAATACTCCATTTTCATAATTCAAAAGAGATATTATCATCCCATTTATCCAACGACGAGCGACAATCGAATCTAGACCACATACAACAATGTGGAATTGTCTGTAAAATGATTCATCAAAATCTTGAATTTTACTAAAGTGAGGGACAACATGGCATCCTTGAATTCTTGTATTTATGAAATTTGCTGCAACCTCTGCTTTCGACTTCCCAATATCCTTGTGTCTAAACAGAAATTGTCTGTTCAGGTTAGAAAGTTCTATTGTATCCATATCAATGACATGAATATTCCTAAATCCCATGTAGGCAAGATCTTTCAGGAGTTCACATCCTAATCCACCGGCACCAATAACGAGAATTTTGCAGGAGTTCATTAAAAAATTAAGTGTCTCTGGGGATGCTTCAAAATCAGGATGACAAAACGGTCCCGGCCTCTCCAAAATCTTCCTCAGATGAGACCAACGATGATGTAGATTGTCACTTCCATCTCCGGATCCCATCATTTTATCTTTTTGAAAATTACACTGTCCCACGAGCAATACAAAACGCTAACACTCACCTATACAATTTAACCTTACCTCAAACGGTTACAATTACAGATTGGTAGTTGTCATCGAACGTTTCGAACGAACGTCAATCCCACCAACCTCTGTTTCGTTCCGTTTGGTTTACTTCATGGATCCAGGTTTACCACCATACAGATGCAATCAGTCAATAAAACGACGTGGTAACACTGCGAAAGCGTTCAGAAACCTGTAGCCGCGTGCGACGGGTTTCCATGTGGGATATTTCTATGTAACTTTTCTTTTATTTATTAAATTTACACGGTATGTATTAGTAAAATCACTTCTGAACTATATTGCTGTAATTGATGCATTCACATGTTAGGTTTTGAATAACAATCATTATACCCTTACTTGTAGAATTTCAGGGTCATCATGAAATCACCTTCACCGAGCATGGGAACGATCGATTTGTGCCGAAATTGTTAAAGTTTAAAAAACAGATTTTTGCAGTGTTTCCTTTACCGTGAAAGCCCTGAGTAAGTGTGTGTCTTATTGTATTCATATGGTATTTGAGAGCTCTTTACTGTGAATCTTGTAGATTGCAAATAATGATTTAAACAGAATATAACCTTAGTATGACGTAAGAACATGCCTTACGATTGTAACACATCTAAGCCTTAGATTTTCTAAAAAATAAAATCGGGTTCCGTAATTTATCATCTCGTTTATGTTATTTCTAGAATGTAACATTTAATATTATGAAGTGAAGTTATTGTTGCATCTTGTTTTTGGTTGTTGTTTTTTTTCAGTATCTTGTTTCTTCAAATTGAGATTTTATCATGGAAGAATATGCCAGAGAGCCGTGTCCATGGCGTATCGTGGACGACTGTGGAGGAGCATTCACAATGGGGTGTATTGGAGGAGCTGTCTTTCAGAGCATAAAAGGATTTCGTAATGCCCCTAGTGGACTGAACCGAAGGCTTCTGGGAAGTTTAGCAGCTGTTAAACAACGTTCCCCTGTGATAGCAGGAAACTTTGCAGTATGGGGTGGTCTCTTCTCTACAATTGATTGTACATTGGTTCATATACGGCGTAAGGAAGATCCGTGGAATTCTATAATATCAGGTGCTGCAACAGGAGGAATATTGGCAGCTAGAAACGGACTCCCAGCTATGGCAGGATCTGCGATAATAGGTGGTGTTCTTCTAGCTCTAATAGAAGGTGTTGGTATTCTATTTACACGACTCTCTGCTGAGCATTTTCGCCCAGCTCCACCTCAACTTGGCGACGATCCAACACAATTAGGACCACCACCACCTGGGTTCAGTCAGTCGTATCAATAGCAGTTTTAATAGTGTAATATAAAGTAATAGGTTGTAAAATGTTCTTTATTGTTGACTTTGTTGATAGGATCAGAGATTCCCGTCTCACTGAATGTGAACAGTGATGCAGTCATTTGTGAATAAATTTTATTCTCAGTTGTACTTGTGAGGACATTTCTACCTAGAAATAAGTTTTGTGTTGTGTGAACATATTGTATGCTTTTCATATTATACATTAAAGCATATTCTACTGTACCAGCACAAAATTATGTTGGTTTTTTTAAAAAAAAAATTAATATTGTAGAACCTCTTCTACTAAGATGGAAAAAAATGTATGACAGAATTACAATTAAATTATTTCATAAAAGTTGTTTATTTGATTATTTGTTTGGGATTGTAAGTATCCATAGTTTTTAAATTCGGAAATTATCTTAAATGGTTTTGTAGTAGTAGGCAGTCTAGTCTTAAAGAGAATGCACTTGAGAATAACATAAAGTGCAGGAGAATAACAATTTTTATACTGCATTTAAGGATCCTGGAATATGTGTTTTGTGTTTAGCTGATCTCGCTGAACAGCTGAATTATCATTAAGAGTCATAGTTTACAATTTTTTAACAATCTATAACCTAAATACTTTATCTCTGGTGAGTCACAATAGTATCTTTAATATGATTTAACGAGACTAGTTGCAGTTTCAAACTGCCGCAAAATGTATTTGAGCCGGAAGGAATTGTTGCAATTTTTGAAAATATGATAAAATATGTTTTAACCCAGGAGTGCCCGGAATTTATCTCTGATATAACTGCAACTTTCTGAAGCTCTATTTGCAGAAATAGTAATTTTATTTAGTTTGTACATGTCCACCCCAATGCAATTGTTAATAAATTTAATCCTACACTGCAGAAACCTTGTCTGAATATTTATGCTGAGGAAGGTAAAAATTGATGAAGTACATGCGAAAGTCATTAAACCTCTTAGCTTATTAAATAATATTAACTACAATTTCCACAGGTGACTTTGGCATGTTTTAAACGAAAATATATTTTACATTTTTCACTAAAATAGAGAAAGTCTTTTCGTTTTTTGCAAAGCTCACGATTGTTTTCATTTCGCCACTGACATTCCCTGCATGTCTCCTTTGGGAAGAAATTATGACTTGATCCTAGGTAAGACAAATTATTTCATTTTCTGAATAGGCACTTGCCGTAGATGCAGCTAAAATTAATGTCATGATATGTACCGTTTAGGCCAGAAACTCACAAAGTAATGGTGCCAGTGCATGCAATGTATTTGACATATTGCAGAGCACAGCCATCAAGACTCAATATACCCACTGGTGTTCTCAGATAAGTACAATGAAGGAGTACATGAAATATCAGAAGACTAAATAATTCAGGAATATAAAATTGCTGTGGATAGGATCTTGCAAATCTATTGTGGGCACTTCGGTGTTAATAGAAAGTTCAAATGCCATAAACTGAAATTATTTATTTTTTGCTTGCTTAGGGTAAGGAATTTCTTTCAAACACATTTTTAACTATGTAGTTTATACAAAAATTATATTAGTATATTTAATATACTAATTATATATTATAAACTTCATTATGCAGATGTTACATGTGCATTTTAATTGAAACTTGTTTCAATTTTTGTGTTGCATTTTTGAGTTGTACTATTTCTAAATGTTTGGGTAACCAATAAGAATGGATTTTTGTTTTTGGAAAAATATGACTAAAATATCTTTCTTTTATGACTGTAAAAATGAGGAGTTCTATGTTCTGCTAAAGGTTATTTATTTTACACCTCTTTAACAGATATCTGAAAAAATTACATTACTGTACAAAAACGTTATTTGCACAATGATGCTTCAGTGCAAAATAAACTTCAAACCACAGCCATTGCTTGTCAGTGGCTTTCTGTTAAACGTTCACAAACATGACATTTGATGGAACTACGAAGACTCACAATAAAACAAATCATGAATTTTTTAATCATTAACTTCTGTTGCATCAAACAATTCATTATTTGTTGTATAAGCATTATTGAATTGAAAAAAATTTTGCATGTCTTAACAAAAAACTCAAAACAAAACACACATACACATGATGATTATTTCACACGCGTAAAATTACTTGATACTACACAGCAAGTGAATATTGACTTAGTTTCTAGGGGGTGGCACAAAGTAAAGGAAAATAAGATAATGCATTTTTGGCAAGCAAACATTTGTTATTTTTCTTTGTAGAAAGTTATGGTTAAGTTCATTTCTTCAACATCAAAAGTTGAGAACCTGAATTGTAGTAGGAAGCTTTTATGATATATTTTTGGTGGCACAGAGGAGGCAGTACTATCTATCGCCTTACACAAGTTGAAGAATTTGAGCTTCTCATTTCTTTTCATTAGGCATTTTCACTTTCATTGAACCCCTCTACTTGTATATGGGTGACAAAATAACATTTATTATCATAGCATTATGGGTAATCAAGTGTTTTAAAAGCAGTATCAATGTGACAAAAAGTTTTAATTGATAATACATATGATTGATCATGATGAAATGCAAAACCATAAGATGTTTGTAGGATTATAATAACGTTTATTGAACAGTTGCATATCTGTGTACAATTTCTCAAGTACTCATTATGTTAATTACTGTATGGAGTGGACGGATGTAGTTATTCCATTGGCAGTATTAACAGATCAAATCTGTAGTTTGTCAATACAAATAGTTTTTATTTCATTGTAGCAATCATTTCTAGGTATTATGTATCAATTCATAATTTTATTCTCTGGAGTTGGTAGATTCCTGTTACAGAAAATAAGCTTAGATACTGGCTAGATTTTTTCTCACAATGTTTATTCCCAGTCTTTGAAATATGCTGAAAAAATGTGAGTTATCGTAAAAGATTGATTTTAATAATCTTGTAAACACTATAAAAATATTGTTAAAATTTTAATTTTCATTTGTTGGTAAGTTATCTCTGAATTTTATGGAGATTGAAATTGAAAAGATATTATTGAAAGGAAGCTTTTCTTTCATACATTTACCAGAATTATCACATGTAGTCCAGTTTGGTCTAAATAAAATTTTTAATGAATTTGTTTAAATTATACATTTAAAATTGTTGTTGCTTTAAATGTATTTTCAATGTGCAGCTTACTATATAAGATACGATCATGATATACATAGTTATATAATGTTACATTTATAAAATAATATTCTTCTTTACTTCATGGATTAGGCTCATCACCTGTTCCGTTTTCACAAAGCATTCGTTTCCATCTTTTCCTCGGTCTGCCTATATTTCTTGTACCACAAGGATGATAGTTATAAAATTTTTTGGGTATTCTTGTATTTTCCATTCTTCCTATGTGTTCTTCCCATCTCTCTCCGTATTCCTCTATTTTCCCATTTGTAGCTTCTATTTGCAATTCCTGTCTAATGTCATCGTTTTTTATCCTGTCAGATCTAGTACATCCTTTTACTCTTCTTAAAAATCTCATTTCTGCAGCCTGTATTCTGCTCTCATCCTTTCTAGTTGTCACCCAATTATTCACTTCCATATAGAAGCATTGACATGGCCATCATCTTATAAAGTTTCATTTTTGTATCTTCTCTAGTTTTTTGGCCTAATGTTCTAGTTATTGTGCCGCAAATATATTGAAATTTTTGGATCTTATTGTCTATATAATTATCTCGTTTGTAACTAACATCACAACCGAGATAATTGAAGTGTGAAACTTGTTCTATAATTTTATTTTCTATTACAATTTTGGATCTCACAGGGTGTTTCCCATAAAAGGCCATATTATATAGCCAGGTTATAATAGGCCATATTATATAGCCAGCCATATAAGGCCATATTTCATCTGTCCAGTAACGTAGCCCCTTCCTTTTATGAAATTTTTTCGTTTTACCTAGTGCTTCCATTGCAGATCTCTGTGTACAAATTTTTATATTTTCCCATTCTTCATCAATATCTTCACTAGTTGTTAGTTTTGCTATGTATTCAGTTAATCTTTTCTGATAGATATTTCTCACGTTGTTTTCTTGCAATAAATATGGTTTAAAAACTTCTTGCTTATTGCTGATGTTATTTATTTTGGGATTATTGTTGTTTTTTTTTCCATTTGGCCAGTAGAGTTATATTCGACACTACTAAATATTGATCAGAGTAAACGTCTCTGCCTCTGTATACTCTAACGTCTTGTACCAGGGATTTTATAATATATATATATATATATATATATATATATATATATATATATATATATATATATATATATGTTAATATATATATATGTATATATATATATATATATATATATATATATGTATATATATTGTATATATATATATATATGTATATATATATTTGTATATATATATATGTATATATATATATATATATATATATCTTTTTTCTAAAAAATGTGTTTGTAATTTTGAGATTATTAAATGTGCAAATTGTCTCAGTTCTGCTCCATTTTCATTCATAGTTGATTCTCCAAATGTACCCACTGTTCCTGGTATTGATGTATTTCCAACTCTGGCGTTCAGATCTCCACAAATCAGGGGTGTAATTCTCTCTTATTATATTTATTTAACTCTTTTTGTGTAGTTCATCATAAATATTGTATTGTATCATCTTTTCGACCTTCTGCTGGAGCATAGACTCCAATGGCGGTTAAATGTCTTTGATAGATTTTGAATCTAACTGATATTATTCTGTCATTTACATAAGTGTAGCTAATTATTTTAGATTTCCATTTGTTGTTTATTAATATAGCTACACCACTGCATGCTCGTTTGTTTTGAGGGACTCCACTATAACCCATGATGTAGTTGTCAAGTTCTATTGTGCCTTTTAGTTTCTTTTTTGTTTCAGTTATGGCCGCTATGTCTATTTTTTGTTAAGTGCTGTGGTAAGTTCTGTTCCCTTATGACCTAAGCCTCTAACATTCCATGTTACAATTTTAATTCTATCCATTATACCAATATTTTTGTCCCTGACATGCCGAGGTCGTTTTCCAGAATTTCTGTCCGGCTTGACTTTGTGAAAATTTTGAGTAGTTTCATTTTCTCCAGTACAGGGTATCAGTCGGTAGCTGGATAAGACAAGTGATGGGGCTGCCATCTTAAGTCCTCTTGCTTTGCCCGTTTTCTGTTAGGGTCTCGTCCCTTGGCTGATATGTTTGAGACTTAAAGCGCCCAAAACTCGCTTTTCATACTCTCTCATTTGCTACATGATGCACTCACATGTACATCTATGAATCCAGGGGTCACGATGTGGACGTGAGAATAGGATTTGTTGGCAGAGCTGAATTCGATCTTTCGAATGTCTGACTCGTGTCAGAAATCAGTGGGCATTTCTTGAAGTTTTATTACTGAGTGGGCACCAGCAACCCCCGCAGCCTCCAAGACCCTTACCAACCTTTGACCGCCAAATAATATTCTTGATTTAATTATTCAAAAATATTTTTTTTATGTCAAGATTCTGAAAAATTATCACATTTGATTTTAAAATGTTTACATTTATTACGTCCTTACCACATACTTTCATAGTCGAGAGAAACTACTAATGTAAAAGGGAAGAGACTACTTTTTTGACAGAAAAACTTGTATTTGTATTGTGTGTAAAATTGTGAAAACAGGCCAATTTCTTTCTATCAATTACAAATGTAAAATTTGCTGTAAATAATGTATCACAGTAGTTTTCACAGAGAAATTTTATGACACTCTTTAAATCACATGTACTCATAAATACAACAAAGTGAAGAAATTGCCGCTACTATGAATATTAACGTCATGAGAGACAAGTCAAACAAATTACAATTTACATTTTTGAAAACACAATAGAATAGAGCAATATGGCGTCTATGTCATCTTATACAGTACATTTAGCACTCTCTCTACCAAAACTTCAAAGAAAAAAATGGAGCCGTTTTTGAGAAAATCTTATTTTTGTAATTTTTTAACATTGCACATATTGTACACAATGTTGTGCAAAAACTTAATTTAAAAAAAAGTATGTACATGACATTAATGAAAATACTCACTATGCAGAACGAACAGTATTTGAAGGAGAAATCTCTATCTTTAATTTTGTAGTTGTAAGAAGACACTGAAAAAAATTCATACTTTTGAAATTTTATGAAAATATAGTTTACCTTGAAAATCGGACCTATTCCACGTTGATAAGTGTACGTTCCTCTATTCTTACAAGAAATTTAAAGAAAAAAATGAGCCATTTTTAAGAAAATTTTGAAAATGTCCGGACGGCTTCATGTAAATTTTGAAGAATGTTTTTCAAAATCTCAAAGTTTTGACTCGAGCCAGATGAACAGCGGTTTCTCCAATTTAGAAAAATCGTACGCATGGTTTAGGCGCTAGTAGTGTTCACAGACACCAGACAGACGGAAGGATTTACGGACGTTTTTAAAGAAACTGACACTTTTTCTGTATCAAGGGACTCCAAAATGGGAAATTCCGTTGAAATCTCGAAATCGATTTAAGGCAGCATTACATAACTTTCCCTATACTCCGTATATAGTACGTATACGGGAAAGTAAAAACTGGGGGTGGCGCAATTCTAGAATCAGTTTCGGATTCAGTGCGTCGACAT